GGGTAGTATTGACATCTTTGACAACATTAAGTCTTCCAGTCCATGAACATGGAAAATCTTTTCATTTATTGATGCTTTCTTTAATTTCTTTCAGCAATGTTTTGTAGTTTTAAGTCTTTTGACTCCTTAAGTTTATTCCTTAGGGTTTTTTGTTTTGTTTTGATACTAGGAATTTAATCCAGAGGTGCTTAACCACTGAGCCATATCCCCAATCCTTTTTATTTTTTGAGACAGGGTCTCACTAAATTGCTTAAGGCCTTGCTAAGTTGCTGAGGCKCCTCTTGAACTTGCTAGCCTCTTTCCTCAGCCTCCCAAGTTGCTAGAATTAAAGGCATGTGCCACYATACCCAGCAATGRAAYTGATTCCTTAATTTTCAGCTTGTTCACTGTTAGTGTATAAAGAATACAATTGCTTTTGTACATTGATTTTGTATCCTATAATTAGGATTTAAAAAAATTTTTTTTGTTTGTAGAYGGATTCAATACCTTTATTTTATTTATTTACTTTTATGTGGTGCTGAGGCTCAAACCCAGTGCCTCATACATGCTAGGCAAGCGCTCTATCACTGAGCCACAACCGCATCCCTGTAATTGGGATTTTTGATTCTCTATATGCAATCTCTCTCTATCCCGCCCTTGGAAGTTTGGAGGAGTTTTTTCTTTGTACTTTTKCGATCTGAGATTTCATGATCATAGACTTGATGTGGGTACTTGTAGCCATTATATTGGATACTAGGTAGATCTAAGAGCTTCTTAGATTTTTTTTCTCCTGTTTTCAGCCCTATCTTCATCTGTACTTCCAGAGATATCTGCTACTGATAATTCCTGAGATTTCTGAGGGTTTTGTGGTTTATATTAGGTTCYCCTGTCCTCCCCTCCCCCACGTTTACCATTTCTGGTTTAGGATTTAGGCTTCTTGGGTCTATTTAATCAGTTCCCAGCTCTCAAAATTTTGTCTCTTACTCCCTTTGTGTTCTCCTTTTTTCTTATGGTTTATTTGTGCCATTTTAGTTTATTTTAAAGTAGCCATCTTTAGTAACTGAAAAGCAGGTGTGTCTTTTAGATCTGTTAGTTGATTGTCATGTGTATGAAAATTTAATATAAATGTTTAAATTTAATATAAACTTTTATATTAYATTATTTAATATAATATTATTATATTAAATAAGAGAAATTTAACAATTTCTCTTACTCAGATAAAGAATTCTTAAATACAACTGAACTGGCCAATTTCCTTCCTTTTTTTTTCTTTTTTGTAGTTGTAGATGGACATAATGACTTTATTTTATTAATTTATTTTTTCTGTGGTGCTGAGGGTCGAACCCAGTGCCTCATGCATGCTAGGCAAGCGCTCTACCACTAAACTACAGCCCCAGCCCCCCAATTTCTTATATGACTTGAGAATGTATATTTTGAGCTGACTTGTCTTGGTGGGCCATTCAAAATCAGAGGTCAGACGYAGGCATTCCATGATCATGGTGCACAATACAAATGAATGCTGCTCGAGTAAAACCTTTCAGCTACTTCCCCCCAGTGATAATATTGTAAATACCTACCATACATGAGACAACTGACATTTTCCCTAATCCATAGCCATGGGATGTTTCAGTTTATCCAGGTCTCTAAGTTTTATTCCTGAACACAAACCACCACAAATGAAATACTTGAACTATGCTGGATTACTTTTCATAGATAAACCTTATACCTATGGATGTATCCGTTGTCCTTATGTAGATACCTAAAGAATGTTTCTTTATTGCCTGAAATGTCTATACTTTTTCCATCCACTGTTATGCAGCATTCCGTTCAAAAAGATCCATGTGGTAAATTTCTCATAGAATTTGGTGTCAGGCAAAGGCTTGTTTCTCCAGGAAAAAAACTTCCTTTTGCTATACAAGGAGAACTATTTAAATAATAATATTTTCTTATTTCCCCTTTTATCTTGGCTATTAGTAATTCAGAGGCACCTGGAGTTATAACTAACTCATCGATTATTTCTTTTGTAATCATTCCTCTCCCCCTTTAATAGTTTCTCATCTTTTGGTCTTCATTTTAATTGTACAGATCCACAATCCCTTGACCACAATTCTAAAATGCAGAAAGATTTAAAAAAGGAATGCTTTTTTAAATTCATGAAGCTTAGGGTGAATATTCATATATCACTACATAATACTAAAACATTTAATTTTTAGGGCACTACCCTGCACCCCTTTAAGGACATTACATAACATGTAGTATGCTCTCTCTAAAGCCTGAAAGATTCTCAATTCCAAATTGTAGCTAACTTGGGATTTCAGACAAGAGATGTGGACATGTGAGTGTTTGAATGTAGGATGATCCTCACATATCTTTTGGAGTGCAAGCATGTGGCATGGAGAAGTTCTCAGAGGGCCATAGTGGATGTGACCTAATACAAGAGGAAGCTAAAGAGAGACCTGCTTATGGTTGCCATTGGTCCCTTCATCCCAATGCCCATCTCCCTAGCCACTGATGACATTACCTGTCTCTTGATCTTCTTGTGTTCGGATTTTTTTGGACAGTTTCAGAGCAGCTTCAAGGTCATAAACTTGAGAGCGGGTGTACTTCAGTTCCCTACGGAGTTCATTAATTTCCTTGATTAAGGAAACATTTTCCTTTAGAAAAGAAGGAACAAGAGTGAATATGTATGAATGAGTGACTGTTGGACACAAGGCATGGGATTGAGGGGGTGGGAATGGACAGTGTTGGTCTGGACCCAGGTTAACTCTCTGGATCTCTCTTGGGGTGTGAGTATATTTGGCTTTCTCATTGTTCAGCCTCTCAAGGTAATAGCTAACTTACTTTCAGGTGAGCTCAGCACTATTCCCATCCATCTGAGCTCTTTTGAACAGCATCAATGTTTTCCTAAGTACTTTTTATACAACTTTAATGTATTTAAGCATCATAATAACCCTATGGCTAGATTCTATTACAATCATACTTTTTTGGGGGGAGTGCAGAGATTGGACCCAGGGTCTCACACACACTAAGCACACTATGTCCAGCCCCTATGATCACAATTTTATAGAAGAGGAACCTCAGGCACAGAGGTTGTGTAACTTARCAAGTGGCTGAGTAAGGATTCTAAGCCTAGTGGTCTGGTTCCAGAGCTCTTAAATACTGAGCTGYCCTTTATTCATTTTTTCCCATTCATTTGTTGAATCTACATTTATGGGGCATCTGCTATGTCCCTCGGAATGCAGACTTCGGAAATAAAGCATGATCCCTGTCCTCAACATCATTCTATTTAGTAACACAGAAAAATAATCTGATAATTAACATCAGCTGTATCCACTGGAAATTCACTTCTCTTGTTTGTGTTTGACAAATATCCATCCATCCCGCCCCCCACATCCACTCATCCATCCATCTCCATCCAATACCTTATAGTGAATACCCATCATGCACCAGCCACTGTGATGATCATGGCATTTTCAAAGTGAGACCTGGCCTCTGCTCTTGGTGGGGGATATGGGCCCATTTTAGCACGGAGCCACCTTGCTAAGGTGGAGGATAGGTCACAGAGGAAAGGCACTTAGTCAAGCCTGAATAGCGAATGGATTGCTAGCAACTGACCCCTGAGCTGAGGCTTAAAGGAGGTTCTCAAGAGAGGGTAAAGGGTGTCCCAGAGAACTGRAATAATAGGAGTCAGGACAGAGAAGTGTGAAACAGTTGACATAGGGGGACGGTAGCAGTTCTATATCACTATGAGATGGAAGAGGGAAGTAGAAGAGAGTGTGAATGAAATTTACTACAGGCCAGCTGCTGGGGTGCTGTGTRCTGGGACCAGATAGTCTCTTCTCCTTTTCCCACACTTCAAGCTTCTACCTTCCATTTCATATTTAGCATAGGGGCCCCAGGTGGCACTAAGGAGGAGGCCCCACGGGTCCAGAGAGACTCACGGCTTTGTTCCTAGGGCCCCTGGCCTCAGAATTCAGCTTGCCTATCATAGAGCCCCACCTAGGACTGTGAATAAATCATCTGAGCATCTTGTTAAATGAAGCTGCTGTTTGGTGGGTCTTGGGTGGGGCCTGAGAGTCTGCATTTTTAACCAGCTCCCAAGGGATGTTGCTGTGGCATGTCTGCAGGCCACACTTTGACTAGCAAAGTCTTGCAGGTCAAATCTACATGAAATGGGCCTTGTCCAGGAATAAACTTGGGGCACAGTCTTAGAAGTGGGGAGTATGGGTCAGGGCTGGGCAGATCTCAGGCACCCTTCTCACTGATTTGTGCTAGATAAGCCCTTCTCTGCTAAGGGTATGGGCCCCTCAAGCCAGGAAAGAGCTGGGACTGCTGAAGATATCCCAGATTCCTTCCCTCCAGAGACTCTTCCTTTAAAAATAGATCTAGACTTTTAGAAGCTCAATATATCACTTACTTTCAGTTTTTCTCACTAAAAAAGATTCCCTCGYTCTTGGATGAAATGCCCAACCCTCACTGCCAAACCTGTTGTTCCCCAGGCCAGGCTTTGTGTCTATTTTTCTGTGTCAGCAGATTTTCTCCATGCAATGCTTTACCCTTCTAACCAATCCAGGCCTTGGTGATRAATTGCCTACATTTACTTTCCAGATACTGCCCAGTGAAACTCTCTGATAGTCCCCTCCCCTGGAACTTCCCCATACCAACTTTATATCATGACATGATTGATTTAATATATATTTATTGCTAAAMCCCTGGATCCTGCCCTTGCATGTAAGAGGTGCTCAAAAAATATTTGTGGGATGGATAAGCAAATCAATATGAATGCACTGCATACCAGGTTGAAATAAGAGAAGATACTTACTAATAAAGAAATTAAAGGGTAAGGGTCAGGTAGAGGAGACTAGAATAGAAGCGAGGGTCTTAAAAAGAACCACAAGGAAGTCACGGGCAAACTTGCTGGCTTGGGAGCTCTCTCTATTCTTGGTTGGTTTTGCTTAGCTTCACTTCTCCTTCATCCAATAAAGCAATAATGGCAATCAGAATGAAGACTAGAAACTCAAAGTACCACTAAAGAAAAAAATTTTGTAGTTGTATATGGATAGCATGCCTTTATTTTGTTTAGTTTTATGTGGTGCTAAGGGTCRAACCCAGTGCCTCACATGTGCTAGGCGAGCACTCTGCCACAGAGCTGCAGTCCCAGCTCCTCAAGATACCATTTTGAGCCCTCTCAGGTTACATCTTTAGTTATTTCCTTTTCTTGGTCATTTCCTTTTATCACAGAATCCTACTGATTTTGTGCTGGAGCTGCACCTTGTATTCACCTTGCTGTGATTATAACTGGCTCTTGGTCCCTCTCTCCTCTAGGACTATTGTGGTCCCACGGGAGCCCTTGCCCTAGTTTCTCCCTCCCCCCTCTACCACCTACACCCTGTGACTGGGATTTCTGGCTCCTGGTATATTTTGGTATGGTTGTTAATGATCCCACTGCCAGTCTTTGACACTTCCATGATCCTTCCTTGCCTAAATGGGCATCTCCAGGGCATGATTCCATCCTCATTAGAGTGTGATTAAGGCCCATGGCTCAATGAAAACTGATTCTCTTGTTTGTTCGTCCCTTTCTTCCTTCCTTCATCCAAAAACCAAGTCATCTATTAACCAGTTGTTCTTTTTTTTTTTTTTWAATGTTTATTTTTTAGTTCTCGGCGGACACAACATCTTTGTTGGTATGTGGTGCTGAGGATCGAACCCGGGTCGCACGCATGCCAGGCCAGCGCGCTACCGCTTGAGCCACATCCCCAGCCCCTAACCAGTTGTTCTTGAAACTTGCTGTGCTCTGGTCAATGTGCTGAACAGGGAAGGTTCCTCTAGGCTCTAATGCAGAGAGATGCCATCAGAGTTAGAAGCAGGGSCCCAACCCAGTGTGAGGAAGGTTCTCAGGGGAGACTGAGGTTGGAGAAGAGTATTCCAGGCCTGGAGCCAACAGGGAGCAAGCAGAACACAAACACTAAAAGCTTGCTATTAAGAATAAAAACAAGAATAATCATAATTGCAAGGGTCAATTGGATTCTYACAACATATCAAACATTTTACATAATCACCTTATTTCATCCTTACAACCACCTTATAGAGTAGGCATTATAGGACTTGCTTTGGATGTAGAAATAACACAGAGGATAAATGGTAGCTCCCAAGGGATGTTGCTATGGCTTGTCTGCAGGCCRCACTTTGACTAGCAAAGTCTTGCAGGTCAAATCTACATGAAATCKGTTTGAAGATGCCTGTCTGCCTCCAAAGTGCCCTGTTCCTCCCTGACTGCTGCCTTCAGACACTACTCCATCACCACTCATTTACCTCCATTCCAATATCTTGCATAATGTGATGGCTAACGACATCCCCAATGAGTACAGGTTGAGTTCTTTATAACATATTTTTAAGGGTGGCCACAGTTCTGAGGAGTCCAAAGATCACACTCAGGTCAACTGTATGTACATTTGGTAGCTTTGTGAATTAAAAATTAACACACCAGGCTTCTGAGCCCTGTGTTCTGATAGCTCCCTGGTCAGGATAGCTTTTATAAACTCCTACAGTTCTCCAGACCCATCTAAGTACTCAGCTGCAGGAAAAATCTGACCTGAGCCTGGGAAATGTGAGRGAGACTAACTTGGCTAGAGGATGCTAAGGTCCATATATATGGAGGTTTCTAAACAAAGGGGCTATACCTAGCTAGGGTGACCAGAACTGCCWTAGGCCTTTGGAACAGCCTGATGACCCTGGCTGTTCTTTCAGACACCCTTGATGGGCAGRGCAGGGAAAGAAATGTCTGTAGCACCACCTTCTGGCAGGCTCAGAGTCAACTATCTTTTGAAAAAAAGCAAGCAACAGATGCAYTCATTGCTCCAGTAACTTGGAAACCTGGCATCCGGTGGTGTCTTTCTGGAACTCACAGTCGGTGGCATCTCCATCTGTCTAATTGCACAAAATGAACCATCTCAGACTCCTTTTCTGCTCTTCTTTTCACCTATATCCTGTGTTTAAGTCATTTCTATTTGTCATTTCTGCTCYGAAATGCCTTCTGACATCATAACTTGCCCCTTTCTAAGGGGCAAATGCCCTCTCATTTACCTTTAATGCAATGGCAATCTCCTAATGAGTTTCCCTGCCACCTGACCCTTTCTCTACCTGCCTATGGAGTGCCTCCAGTCTGTCCACCATGCCAAAGGAGTCCATCTTTACGAAACAAAGATAACATCCCTGCCAGCTTAAGAAGTCTTTCAGGTCATGGATGTGSTCAGGATGAATCTCATGATCCTGGCATGGTGTGGAAGGCCCTTTTCAACCTGACTGTTGATTACCTACCATTTCAATGGGACCTTTCTCTCTACCCCAACACTTTGCAACAAACTGAGGTCTGTGGACTCATGGGGTCTGCAACCACCTCTGTCCTCCCAAGACCGTCTCCTTTCTTTTTCTCAGGTTATTCTCTCTTCCCCTAGTTGGTCCCTGACTACCCTCTATCTACCCTGAGCTCAGCTCAAATGCCACCTTCCCTCAGAAATCTTCCATGAGTCTCCAAGGCATAATTGCACTCTGCTTCCCCCCATTAGCCCACTGCACTGCGATATACTAAATGGAGAAGAGATTACTTGAACCTGGTCCAAGTTTCCTGGGAGGAGCTTCTTGAGGGTAGGGACACCCTCACATTCATCTTGGAATCTTCCATGTCTAACACAAACCTTGCTGTATACGAGGCTCTCAAATGTGAACTGAATGAATGTGTGTCCTAGATGTTTGTATTCCATAGCAACTCTAATTTCCATATCTGCAAGTATGCTGAGAATGCAGCAGGGAGGCCCCGAGCTCCTATYTGAATATACAAATGAGAAAGTGGCCTCATTTTTTGTTATTTTCTAATGAGTAGCTCTCAAATGCCATGTCCATCCCAGCTTTCCTCAGCCTTTGGGATTAAGATGCCAGGGACCCAGCAGCTGCAGACACAGTTTCAGCAGGCTCCTGACAAACTCTTGCCAAAGGAGCAGGAACACTTGAACACCAGCTGGGGGTCTGGAATCAGTTGTGCTGTCCCTTCACCCACCCCCAGGAGCAGCTACCCTGGCCCTTGTTGTGAGGGGTTTCTAGGCTCTCCCACTTGGTTTCTACCTTGGTTCCTATATGCAGTCTTTGTTAAGAAGAAGGGAAGGGAAATGACATTTTTTGTACACTGATTCTGTCCCAGGCCAGTGCCTTGTACTTTACAAAGGTTATCCTGTTCAGTCCTCATAGTAACCACGGGGGTTAGTGTTTTCCTCTCCATTTTATAGATAAGGAGGGCATCTCCTGGAGAAGTCAAGGAATTTACCCATGTTCTGCTGGCCAAAGAGTGGCAGAAGCAGCATAACTCAGATCTACACAGTGACAGTGCCCATTTTCCTTCCATATCCTGGCTGGGAACATGATTCCAAGCTGAGGTTTGCTTGTATAAACCCTGCCATCTGGCCTGGCCCTGGCCCAGTCCTTCTTCAATTTTAACATCAAATAAGGAAACAATTTTTAGCATCCAGAACAGCGGTTCGAAAGTTTTCCTTTAAAAAAAACCTTCCTAACTTTTTGCAAACAGAATCCTACACAGAGCCCCACTGTGATCAGCAAGGAGCCTCTCTGGTTGAGGGGGAATGAACTCTGAGCCTGCCCACAGGGCCCCTTTCTTGTTCCCTATTGTTATCTGAGTCAATTCTCTGGATCCACAGGACTGCAAAGCACCTAGGCTTACAATGCTGCTTGGGAAGACACTCTTCTGGGGACTGGGCTTATGGGAGGGGCTGGGCTGGATAGGAGCTCTGCTGTATCTCCTTTTCTCCCCATCCCCACCCTGGCTTGGGGGGAACAGGAGAGGAAAAGAGGACAYGATGCCTGCCCTGTCAGCCTCGTGTGGACTCCTGCATCCTATGACCAGCCTGTGGTCTTCAGTTCCTTTCTTCTCTCCTTTTAGGACTGACATTTGCTTTGGACATCTTGCTTGGCATAGAGAAAGGGACCCAGTCTTCAGAGGACCTCTCCGGCCTGTGTGCCAGTACAGGCAGGGCACTTGAGACTTCAGCTCTGACACCTGCTGACAAATATTCCTCTGTCATTCTGGTCCCACTGCCCAGTTTGCTACATTCTAGGGCCCAGGAATCTCTCAGTGCTCTGGGTACTTAAGGCCCCTTGCAATGGCTCTGTGTGGGGCTGTTGGTGCCAAGGGTCCTGCCTACTGGATCTACTCCCCTTTCTGGGCCTCTGACTGCTTTTGTGGCCCAAAGTTGAGTGAGGGTTTGATGGAGGAGGTGGGGCTGGTTGTAAAATGACCTGAGACCAGCCATGCCTGGGTCTGGCCTGAGTTGCAATGTGCTCTGCCTAGCTATGTGTGCACTACCCAACTTAGGCTCTAGTTTCAATCCAACTGCAACCTGTTCCCATTCCAGCATTTTAATTAGGCTATTAAAGAAATGTAAATATAAGAAGGTATGTGTTTTATAAATGTGATTCTGATGTTCTCTTTTGATATTAATTCACCTTAATTGCCTCAGATGATACTGATACCAAACAGAAATCTGGCAGGAGCCTCCTGACCAGCAGTCCTGACAACATGCTTAGGTGAGGTGGCAGTATTGGGGCCAGGCTCTCTGAGCAGCCCTGTGAAGGATCCTGGAGGTTGGGCATGAAGAATTTATTAAGTCAGAGTGGGGCCAGCTCAGGTGGGTGTGGTTTGCTCTGGACCAAGAGATAAGGGTAGAGACCCGTGGCATCAGCAAAGTGAGAAGAGGTAGGAGAGACAGGCGTGTCCTAGCAGGAGTGAGCATCAGAATAAAAAGTAGCAAAACAAAATAAGATGAAACAAGAGTTGGAAACGGAGGAGAGAAGACAGAGTGACTTAGGAGAGCTAAAATACTGTGGATGAAGGTCCTGAGGGACAGGATGGTGAGAGGAATGAGTCAGGACACAGGTGTGCTTTGGATAGAGATGGGGCAGGAAGAGGAACAGGGATGCTGGTGAACAAGGGGGCACAGAGATGCCTAGGAAGGTTCCTTGAGTGGGCTCTTGGCCATGGTCACAGGGCAAGTTCTGAGTGCACAGAGGACAGCAGCCAAAAGGGAGCTGTAGGGAAAGCTAGTGGGTCCTCTGGATGCCTGGGGAGCCCCGAGGATGGTGGTCTCAGAGGGACTCATCTCGACAGCTTGGCCTCCTGGGGGGCAAGGGTGGGTGCTGGTACCTGCATGATGCGGACATAGTCTGTGCGGTGCAGCTCGCTCTCCTTGAGCACCTTCTTCTTGATCGTGGCCAGGTTCCTTTCCAGGTGCTCCCGCTGGCGGGCGTACTCCTGCTGCAGGTCTGTGTTCAGCCCTGCCATCTCCACCTGATGGAGCCCAGGGGATTCTCAGCAAGGAGGGGAGGCTGCAGAGCACAGGGCAGGGCAGGGCTGCAGGGGAGGCTGCTTACCATGTCTGCCCGCTGCACGTACTTCTCAAACAGACCTCGGACCTTCTCCTTCAGCAGCGGGGGCTCCTGGATATATGCCACACAGTTGTGAAGGTCTGTCTTAAACCATTTGACCACTGCTTCCAAGTCCCGCTCCTGCAATTAAAGACATTTACTTTGGGCACGGTGGGCCACATTCCAGGTAGATGGGCAGAGGCTGCAGACAGAGGCAACGGCACAGAAAGGGACAAGAGACATCTCTTCTGTGACTTACAGCTAACTGCCAGGGGACGCACTAGGCACGGGGACCTACAGGGCCTAGTGGAAGCACTGAAACTTTTGTGCACCTGCCTGGGCCAGGCATCTGAACAGCCTACAAGACCTGGTGCTTGATCCTTGAGAGACCATACACAAGGCTTCTTTTATTGGCTCTGGAATCCTTTCAGGACCATGGGGCTTAAAAGATGAAAGGAGGCTCATGTGTCTACTCATATTCCTCTAGAGCCAAGATAGATGGTAACATCACTCTCTGGCAGGTCCCTGGCCAGGGCTTGCGCAGCTCCCCTTATGAGCTCATCTAGTGCTTACCCCTCCTGACAGTAAGGAGACATGGAAGGGTATGGAGATAACCCCACAGAACTGGGCTGCTTCTTCGGCCTATTTGGACTAGTTCCCCCTCTTCAATCATGTTTCTCTGATACATGTTTTCCCTGACCCTGACCTAGAAAGGGTATTTCCTTTCTTTTCACTCTTCTAGCTCTTTATCCATATTCCATAATTTTCTACCTTGCATTACAATAGGCACATGCCACAAGTCACCCATTAGCCTCTCCAGCCTGTGAAGGGCAGAATCTGAACCAGCTCATATTTGTAGCTCAGCAGCTTCTAGTAAATGTTTGATGTGGAGTAAATGCTTGAGGTGGAGGATGGAAATTCAATCTGATTCAGCAAATGTTACCAGGTGGCTAGTGCTGGGGGTGAAGGTTCAACTATGTCCTGTCCCAGGACCAGAAGACTTAGGATGCACTAACAGCTATGGATGCTGGATGAATTTCTTAACCTCCTAATTATTTGGGCTGATTGTCCTTATTTATAAGATAAAGAGACTGGTGCAGATGATCTCTGAGGTTCTCCTAGCCTCATCAATCTTTTTGTCATAAAAACCCTTAAATACTGACTACAAATGCCCTCCTGAGAATGTTCTTCTCCAGGCCAAACAAGGCAAAAGCTAAGAATGTTCCTCCAGTACTGTCTTCCTACCCGTGATCACTGTTTTGTCGTCTCAGATGAATTCTGAAATCAGGCAGCACTGTGGGCAAATAAAGAACTTAAAATGGGAAGAGTGTTTTAGCGATGGGCAGGCTGTCCCTGAGAAGCCAGCTGCCCACTGCAGGCAGGTGCCAGTTTCCAAGTGCAATCGTGCCAGACTCTGAAAATCCTCACACCTTCTGTTTCTCTTTGCGCATCTCTTGATCGGTGGCTCTTAGTTTCTGCCACAGCTCTGTGATGTTCAGTTCCAGTTGCGTGTTCTGTTTATGAAAACGCTCCAGCTCAGCTTCCATCTATAGAGAACAAGGGGAAAACGCGCCAAGAAAAAGAAGGTGAGAGCTCGCAAATATATTTGAGAACTGAAGTCTTCCAGTGTATATGTGCCCCAAGATCAGGGTATTATTTTTCAGTTTCCACCTGTATCCTCTGGAACGAAGCCTTTCTTCTTACTCCCCACCATCCTAAAAGCCCCCACCTCCTTGGCTGATGTGGCAATTCAGGGCCATGGATATCTATGGCTTGATGGGAAGTTTCCCACTTGGCCACCTTCTCTTTCCTTAATTGCTGATCCCTTTCTCAAATTCCTTCTAACTCCATGACTCTCAAGTACCGAAGTCTCAACTGTAACATGAGGCAGGTTCTCCAGGGAAGCATCCTCTTTGCTGCTTGGTGTGGTTGTATGAGTGAACCTCACCCTCAGGGGCCGCAGTCATTCTAAAGCAGAAAGCTTAGTCTAAGCAGAGTTTGAGGGACCGGCATGGCTCAGAGGTATACCCAACCTAAGGCATAAAACTGGAAAGAGGAGGTTAAGTCAAAACCTCTGTCTCATCATTCTATTGAAAAGGTCTTAAAAAGTATAACTGAGGGGTATCCCATCTTCAAAGGAAGATCAAGAAACCACTAGGGAGCTTCTGAAAGATTTTCTGTACATTGGTTTATTTTATTAACTAAAGATGTGTCAATGAGGGCTGGGTTATGGCTCAGCGGTAGAGCGCTTGTCTAGCATGTGTGAGGCTCTGGGTTCGATCCTCAGCACCAAATAAAAATAAATAAATAAAATAAAGGTATTGTGTCTAACTACACCTAAAAAAATAAATATTAATAAATAGATGCGTGAATGATAACTGAAACTTCCCATTAGGATGAGATGGGCCGTGTGTGAGCTTGCAATGAACTGAATTCCTGCCAAAGCAAAAGGTGATACTTGATTTGCACCCGAAATTTGGTGGACACTAGGATTCCTGTTACTAGGGATGCTCAGTGGTGGGGAATGCTACAGCTCATTGGATGTTTTTCATGGCTGGATGGAGTAGCCTCCAAGTCTATTCCAGGCCCTTTGCTCAGATTCAAGGCTCTTGTCTCTGTGGGCTACCAGAGGCCCCACAGAGTCACATCCATGTTCTAGACATAAAAAGGGATGCTTTTAGAATTATATTTTCTTTGTTACTGGGAACATTGTATTTTGACAGAATAGCCCTTTGACACAATAACCTGGCATAAAGGTGGCACTCAATACATACCTGAGTGAATGGATGGCAGTGTGAAGGGCAAAGGGAGCCATGTGGGTGGTGCAAGGAGAGGGTGAAATAACCTGCCTCCGGAAGAGGAGTGATAAGATAAGCAGGGAGTGTTAGCAAAGCTATGCAGAGCCACCTTGCACAGGATGACAGCAAGGGTTATTTCGGCACAGCTAGAGAAAGAACGTGCCCATTGGAAAGGTCCACCCAGCTGCTGTGGGATTAGGGATGTAGAACTGATTAAGAGGGAGTCTTGTCTTCCGGAAGCCTCGGGACCAGAGAGATAGGAGAAGTAAGTGGGAAGTGAGGGAGCAATGGGAGAAACAGAGAAGGTGAGCAGGTGGCCTCCAGAAAAGGGATGCTTCAGCTGGCTTTCGTAGGAACAGTAAATATTAGAGAACAAAAAGGAAGAGAGAATTGCAGGCAGAGAGCAGCCTACACACAGGGGACCAGAGGCGTGGCAGCCTGGTGTGGTGTAMCTTTCCTAGTGGTTCCAGGTGGCTGCAGGAGGGGGCAGCAGGAGAAGGGGAGGAGGAGGGAGCTGGGAAGGTCACCTGAGCTGGGTCACCCAGAACCCAAAGGTAGAGGATCAAATGGTGAGAAGTTTGGCCTTTATCTGAAAGCTCTGGGGGCTGCCAAGGTTTTGCCAAGAGTGGCATGAGCTGCCTGATTTCTTAGAGGCCCTCATGCAGAGGTTCCGGTGAAAAGAGCAAAACTGGGTCCAGGGAGACCAGCCAGGAGGCTGCTGCTGGGGCCCAGGTGAGAGATGATAGTGTCCTTGACCAGGCAAAATGTAAGAGAGAAAGGGGTTTCTCCAATTTGTAGGGCTCCCAAAAGTCATGCCTGAGTGCCTACCGTCAACTGTGCCTCTCTACTATCTTAAGTCAGCAATGACAAGTTGAGTTAGAGTGGAAGAGAGATAACAGGACAGCATTTTAAAAATCTCTGCTATATTTCCCCCTAAGGCAAACCCTCAAATTACTATTTTATAGGAAAAATTATGAAATATGTGAAATTTGAGTATTTATCTAGACTGCCAGAAGGCTAGCTTAGTAGTTGGAAGAAGCATCCTTTTCCTAGCTCGGCTTCCATCTATAGAGAACAGGACTCCATCTACGTTTCCATGTTATTCATCATACTCAGTAATTCTCAATGTAATGGGGGAGGGAGAGGGTGCATCCCCACCTCCTGCTCCCACAGGATATTTGGCAATGTCTGGAGACATTTTGGGTTGTAACACCCTGGGCAGGGGATACAACTACCTCCAGTGGGGAGAGACTAGGGATGCTGCCAAATGCCCTACAATGCAGAGAACAGCCCCCACAACAGGTAATCAATAGGTTGATGTTGAGAAACCCTTACTAGATGAATAAATTAATAATTGGAAACCCAAACAACAAGGATCCAGAAACCTTTCCCCTAGGAAGGAGAGAGGGGCCCTAGAGTTGACAGTGAAAAGCTGGAAAAGTGTATATGAGGGGTGGTACCTGAACCAAGGAAGGCTATATGTTCATTCAGAGGTCTCAGCTATACACATGAACCAAGRGTTGAGGCCTCCTTCCTGCAGAAGAGGAACTTCACAGGAGATCTGCAGTGGGTGGGCAGAATAAGTCTGATCCCCAGAGGAAAGTTCCAAGGCCAGAGGCCCCTTGAAGGAACCAGACCCAGATATCAGCCCTGGTGACATCTGGCATGGGGAGGAGGTAGGAGGGGCCTTATTAAAATCATTCCCAAGACACAAGCATATACCCTGCTGAGTATCAATGCCATGCTTGGCCCCTGTTACTGCTTGGGAAAGTAATAATCCCCCATGTATGCTGGGATGGAAAGTTAGCTGAGCTTTAGCAAACTGTGATCTTAAATCCAGGTGACAAATATGTCAAATGAGGAGAGAGAATTAGGACAGTGATTTTCAGGGGTCTGTGGCATAYTGACCTTCCAGGAGAAAGGGGGCTCCAATCTTTCTCTTATCTTCTTGGGATGCTGCTATAGTGTTCTTCCAGAATTTATATGTTGAAACCTAACCCCCAAGGTAATGGCATTAAGTGATGGGGCCTTTGGCAGGTGATTAGGTCACAAGGGTTTTTGATTCTCTTAATGGACTCGGTGCCCTTATAGAAGAGGCCTGAGGGAGGCTGTCAGCCATCCCCCTTTGCCCTTCTGCTTGAAGGCACAGAGCAGTTGGAACTATGAGATATAGGCCCTTCCAATATGGAATCTGCTGGCCCCTTGTTCTTGAACTTCTCAACTTTACAACTGTGAGCAATTAATTTCTGTTGTTTGTAAGTTACCTGGTCCAAAGTGTTTTGTTACTAGAAGGACTAATCAGTTGCCATTTTTGGGCCCTGAAGTCATTCCAGAATGGTAGGAGGCCCTGAGAAGGCAGCTCTGTAGTCAGGTGAGTTGAGAGAGAACAGCCTACAGCTGCTAGGGACACAGTCACTGCCACAGTCTCTAGATTCCTTYGTGCCCCCATCCCTGGACCAATCCCCACCTAGTTTCTTTACTGAACCTCCTAGAGAAAAGGTGTCTTTTCACTGGGCTGACCAGCACCCGATTCTAGCAGGGTCATCAGTGGTGACATACTTGTACCTATTCTCCTTACTTAGCACAACCAACTAGAAGATGGAGGGGGAAGCAGGATCCTATTTTGTCTAGAGTGGTCAGAGAAGGTTCCCTTGAAGAGGTGACATACAAGCTGAGACCTGAAAGATGCAAAGAAGCCAGTCACGTGACAATTTGGGGTCAGAGCCTTCCAGGCAGAGGGAACAGCCCTGAAGAGATCTTAGGATGGAAAAAGCTTGGCTTGTTGTAGGGTCTGTCAGAAAACTGGTAGATGGAACAGGAAACAGAGGCTGGAGATGAGACTGGAGAGCTAGGGAGACGCCAGGTGGTGCAGGGCTTGTGGGACTTTGGATGTTATATTCAGGGTGGGATAGGACACCATTCATTAGGGCACTTTTGCTCTGACCACTCCCTGGAGACCAGGCTGAAGCCTGGAGTAGAGACCAGATAAGAAATGGTGGAGGCTTGGGTGAGGATAATAGCAGCAGGGAGGAACAACGGATTTGAAATATCTTTTGAAAATTGATTAGATAGATGTTAGTGATGGTTTGGATATCGGCTTAAGAGAAGGGATGAATTAAGAAAGACTTCTAAATTTCTACTTTAAGTAACTGGGTAGATCACAGTACCATTTTCTTTTCTTTGTGCATTTGAGACAAGCACTCTACCAACTGTGCTATATCCCCAGCACCCTCACTGTACCATTTTCTGAGAAAAAAAAAGAAACTGGAGAAAGGGTGAGGTTTTAAAATCAAGAATTTGGAGAGGAAAATGGAAGAAAAATAAAGAATTCAATTTTAGATCAACCACAGACCTCACTGTAAGCTACTTTCTGCCCCCTGAAGGGAGGCTGTGAGGTAGATACATGTCACAAGGGAATGCAATGTGTAGGGGTCCAGGGGACAAAGGGGAACACTTATACCTCACTGAACTCTCAGAAACGCTTGTCCAACTGATCTTGCTTCTAATCTCTCCTCTCTCTACCTTCATCCTGTTTGCTTTACAGAACATATTCTTAACTGTGTCCTTCTTGGCTCAAGAGTCTTTGAGGACTTCTTATTTCTTATCAGATTAAGTCCAAACACCATGCCCTGGCCTGGGCCCCACCGATTCCAGTTGAGAAACATTGAACTGGTGGGTTGAGCCGGGTGATGAGGCCGTTGGCTGAGTATACACTGCCCTCTGGTGGTCGAAGGCCTGGGGCTGGTGTGCTGAGGGTAGGCAGGGCCCCAACTTATCCCAGAGCCCTACAGCAAGCTTAATTCTGAAGCATTTTACTTTCACACCACTGAGCCCTCAGTTGCGCCAGGGCTTTCCTCGTGGCATGTCTGTGGAGTGGAGGCTGCACATACCTAGGGAGCGGAGAGGGACTAGAAAGGAGAGTTTACTTTCATTCCCGAGGCCAACTTGGAGTAGCGAAGGCAGAGAGAGGGTCTGAGAGGCTAGGGTGTCGCAGAGGGCTCTCACCTCCTGAATCTGTTCCTTCATCTCCTTGATCTCATTCTCTCGAGGTTCTATTTGCTTCTTCAGCTCTTTTATTTTGTAGTCAAGCACAAACTTGAACTTCTCTAGTTCTTGATTCTTCTTTTTCAGATCATAAATTCGTTTCTCCTAGGGGTAAGATGAGTGAGAAGTGAGAGATCACAAGGCCCTGGCACGTGGAATCGCTTTAGGGCAAGGAGTATAAATCCTGTGACTCTCCTGATTGAGGAAGCCCAGTCTTCTCTGCTCACTGGGGATACAAAGGCCAACTCTCCCCCACCAGGTCACAGCACTGATTCCTTAGCTTCTGTGCTTGCATATTGGGTTCAAGAGTTCAGAATTTACTTGTGGCCAGGAACCTCACTCACTCACTCACTCACTCACTCACTCACTCACTCACTCATATATAGGTTTCGGGCAGCTGCATCTCCTTCCCACACTGCAGCTCTTCTACAGTGTGACCTTGATGCTTCTGTAGCAGCAGGTACAATCAAAGTTCCTCCCCTTGCATCTGGCTAAACTTAAGACTTACTTGTCATTTAGCAAATATACCTGAAGGGAGGCTGTGTGTCTTTCAAGACTCAGTCAGAAAAGTCACATGGCTTCTACATGAGTCTACCCATTTTATCAAACATTTACTGAATGAACATCTTTTGCCAAGAATTGGAATGCCAAATATGGGTGTGGCATAATCTGTCCCTCAGGAGAAAACAAGAGCTAGGAAGGCAGATGTGGAAACAAACACAACTTCAAGCTGTGATAAGTGCTGTCAAGGAGGGGTGGTCTGTTTTGAGGGTGCTYGGCATACCCTGCTGGAGTATCTGGTGGTGGCTCCCAGGGGAAGTGAGAAGTGGGGGCTGGGGGGCTGGGGAGGAAGGCAAGGAGTTCAAGAGTTCAAAATTTACCTTGTAGTCCAGGGTTGGCAAACTTAGCCAGGGCTAAATTTGGCCTGTTGCCTAATTTTGTCAGGTCTTATGGAAYACTGCCAAGTCCATTCATTGGTATTTTCTTTATGGGTGATTTCACACATGATCTTTGGCCTCTTTCTTGTCTGAGAATCTGAAGAGAGCTTTGAGGCTCCCACCCGAAAGCCCAGACCCATACACAAACATTCATACAGAGAAATGGCTTGCAGGTACTATCTCATTCAATCCTTATTAGACCCCTTGATAGGGGTCTAAGAAATGAAGACTTGGAGAAGTTGCCCAAGGTGCAATGCTGGGCCTGACACTGAAGCCCATGTTCACCCACAGGACGATTTCTGGCTAAGACAATAGATGCAGAGTGTGTGGAGAGGAGTGCATGGAGTCTGGATTTGCTCAGAAGGATGATATTAAATTTTGCATGCTGAGATGGTATGGCCCTTAGAATGTGTGTCTGTGTTCTGAGTGCTTTGTGAGAGAGGCATCCCTAAAAGTGGTACAAGCTTCCTGGGGCACCCAGGAGGTACAGGTTCAGCCTCAGGGGAGTCCCTCTCTGACCAGGGGGACCATGTGGGCAATATATTCACAGATAGATACCTGGATCTGGGAGGGCAGGGGCCTTGGAGTCAACTGACTGGGTTCCTGTCCCAAGTCCATCCTGTATACACTGTGTGACCTTGAATACTCAATCTCTTGGAACTCAGCAGCCATTAACACTGCATTGCTCATACCCTGGGGTTGTTGGCAGAACTGAGTGTGCCATGTTGACAGAAATCAGCACAGTGCCAAGTACACCACAGGCACCTTGCTGACCTCTTATTCCCAGAGATCAAGTTAAATACATGTGTTCCAAGAAGCCAGGGGCCCTCTCTTTTCCAAGCCTTGCCCTCATGGCTTGGGTCCCTCTGGACTGTGGCTGGGTAGGACAGGAGATAGTCTTCACCTTGTCTTGAATTGTCTCATCTCTCTCCTGGATCTCTCGTTTGAGGCCTTGAATGTCTTTCTCTAGGGACCTGATGACTGCCTGCAGCTTCTCCTGCTCTCCCTTCAGCATCTCAATGTCGTTGGTTCGCTCTTCGATCTCCTTCTGCAGGCTGCTGAACTGCAGATGCAAATAGCAACAGCAAAGACCCCTGAAATCTTGGAGCTCATCTCCACTCCTTCCAAACCATGAAAAAAGCTCCCCATCACTGACCAACTGTGAGCTGGACCGCCTCTCTTCTGTCAACTGAAAACTCTGAGTGTACAACATTTCTAAACTTTGGGGGGAGTGAGTTTTTGCAGAATTTAAAATGGCTCAGAAATTTCCTAGGCCAAATAGATGATGGAATAATCTGTCTAATAATGCCCAGGTCCATCCCCTGTATGTGAGGATGGCCTCTTTCTGCACAAGAGGCTCCTGATCCTTGCATGGACTCTGGGTCTTCCATGATCACACTGACCTTAAAAAGTTTGAATCAGTGGCCCACCAAGTTCACAGATGCTGGCCCTACCCAATGGGCCATCTTAGTCATGTCCAAGAYTGTCCTTAGACTTCCTAGCAGTATGATTTCTAATACGAAGAAACAGGAGCTCACTTTGAACTTGGCTTCTGTAAGGCTAAAGGTTTTGGTGAAACTGTGACAATTCCACAAGGAACTGTGAATTGAATAGCCCTTCACTCAATCACCAGTGAACTAAAAATACTTGCTCTACCTTGTAAACAAAGCTCTTCTACCTGTCTCCTTTTCCCACCTGTGGAGCCTGAACGGGAGCCACCAGAGCCCAGGACACTTCCAGACTGAGAAGACTTTATTTCTATTTCTAATTGATCTTACTTGGAAGTGAAAGCCCAAACAGAGTCTATCAGCCACAGGGGAGCTCAACATCACTGCCAAAAGGAGAGAGGCCAGATGGCTGCCTTTTCAGAGGATGTGGCAAGGTCTGTCTGCCTCCGCAGGAGCACCTGCCAGTGCTCCTTTCCTAACCTTCTCACTGGAGGTGAGGACGTTCAGGTGAGAACTCTGCACAGCACCCAGGGCTTTCTATTCACCTGGCCCAGCTGTTTCTGCAATCCGGCCCTTGCCCATTCCCAAGTCTCTCAGAGAACAGCCTGATACCTTTTTCCTCATAATGCCTGTTTCTCCCTTGAGCCGCAGGTTGGATTCCTTCTCTTCCCGAAGTTTTTTCTCGTACTTGATTTTGATATCTTGGATTTCTCGGTCTTCATCTTCTTCAATCTGCTTCTTGGTCTCTTCAAATTCCCGCAGCTGCTGCCTGACATCCTCCTGGGCCTGGCTCAAAGAGAGAGAGAGGGAGAGAGTGCAATCATGGGAGAAGGGGCTCACGGATGCCTCTGTGCTAAGAATGCCTGGGATGAGACTAGTCGCAGAGCCCTGTCATGGCAAATGGGAGATGAGTGTTATTACAGAAATGGAAACTGAGGCCATTTGTCTCCTGACATGTGCACTTTCTTCCTGTTTCCCATATTTCCATCCAGGTCAGTCCTCGGGCTCCATCACTTCAACCACACATTTAGCAACATCCCCATATCCTGTTTTGCTTCTGGTCTTGACACCAGCACCCAGGCGTCCTGTTTTTCCTTCACGGAACTGTGACAGCTGTAATTTTATATTTTTTACTAAATTACTTACTTTCTCTTCCATTAGATGTAAGTTCCTTGAGGATAGAACCTTTTAGCTCATGCCCACCACTGAATTCCCAGTGTATAGCACATATGGGCACACAGTAGCTACTCAATGAATAGTTGCGAAAATACAACTGCTCTCCTTAAGCCAACCCATCCTGCCTTTTCTCTATGAAAGGGAGGCACAGTGAGATCTTAGTTCCTGAGAGTACCTCTTCCAGAAGGGTGGTTTTCTCTTGCAGCTTGGCCTCATAAAATTCAGTCAGTTCCTCCAGGGCTTGGCTCTTGGTCTCATCATTATCTCGCAGCTGTTTTTCATACTCTTCCTGCATCCTTTGGGATTTGAGTTGTAACTCCTGGTATTTCTCATATTCTAGAAGCAACTTTTGGTTGTTGCAACATTCTGGAGAGAAACAAGAGGGAAGGTATTTAAGATATATGAGAAGACCAGCCTAAGGGGCATGCAGCAACCCTGGGTGCTTTCCTACCCCTTCCATGCAGCCAGAGTAGCGTCTCTGGAACCAAAATTCCATGCCTTCAGCCAACTCCATCCCTCCTGCCCTAGGCAGAAATGTTTCTAGGAAGGTGCAGAGGGATGTTTGAAGGTTCAAGGCCAAGAAGACTAGCCTGAGTATGCAAAATAAGTATTAGTGTCCTATTTTTACAGAACAGTAAGCTGAGGTTTAGTCAGGTTAGGTGTCCCTAGAGCACCCCGCAAGTGAGTAGTGAGTCTGGGACCCAGGCAAGTCTATATCTCCTACTGGCAATGCAGTAGGTGTTTTTGTGTTTTGTTTTGCTTTTTKGGGGGGTACTGGGGATTAAACTGAGGGGCACTAGACCACTGAGCCACATCCCCAGATCTATTTTGTATTTTATTTACAGGCAGGGTCTCATTGAAGTGCTTAGGGCCTCACTAAGTTGCTGAGGCTGGCTTTGAACTTGCAATCCTCCTGCCTCAGCCTCCTGAGCTGCTGGGATTATAGGTGTGCACCACCATGCCCACCCTATAGTAGGTGTTTAACATGGTTTTATGGAAGAAGTAAATACACAGGAGTGAAAACCACCGTGAATTCTGGGGGATGAATGTAGCCTGACCATAGACAGGGCCACATTCCCTGGTACTTCTGCTGTGTCTGGGGGACTCCTGGCATTTTCTCAACCTGTCTCCTTCCAATGCCAAGCAGCCACCCTCAGCCCTCATGGCTTCTGCTTGTAGGCTCACCCAGGTCTTGCAGCTCCCGGTTCTGTTTGTCTAGGAGGTCTTCTATGCGCTCACGGTGACTTATATCCTGCTTTTCTTTTTCTGTTCTTAAAACCTAAACCGTAAAATGACATTTTCTGATTTCTGCACATCTGCTGAAGGCACCACAGGATGAGAAATAGTTTTACAAGTGATACCCTCCTTTGCTCACAAACACACACATTTCTCAAGCCCTTATTGTATTCTATGGAATGACGCATGCGCTATCACTTCCTCCTTATTTGCATTATATTCTGCTCTGAAAGTTCTATACTTTCCCTGTCTATATCCTTGCTAATAAATGGGTTTGTGAGTGATGAGTTTAGTTTCAGATATGTGTCAAGTGAATTTTGGGGTGAAAAAGTAGAGATTCATTCAAATACCCTGTTGCCTGCACCTTACTCTCAATGAACTCCTTGGGATTAGCTGTGAGCTTCTAAAAAGTATCTTCTCTACTGGAGCAGGACAGATCCTCACAGGCTGAGACACTGCCATCCCAGGACTTAACTTTGTGCTAGGCTTATGTGGGGCACCAAAGAAAAATGTTTGTTGACTAACTGAATGGAATTACAAATGAATGAATGAATAAAATCAACAGCCATGGTTTTTCAGACAAACTCTCTKACCCACAGAGATAACATACTAGAACAATTTTTCTTGAGCAAAAGATTGGGGGCTTCGGATGAGAAGATCAGATAAATTTTTGTAGAACAAAAACAAAAACTATGTAATTATGTAACCTAGACTATGTAACTTTCTGACAATCTAGAAATCAATATTCTGCTAGTTGTTTCTTTCTATACTTTTTTCTTGCTATCTTTTCATTTTGTTTTAAAGTAAGATTTTCCTGATTACAAAAGTAATGAATTATCTATCACTGCGGAGAATTTGGAAACTATGGAAAGGTATAAAGAGCAAAATATAAAGTATCTATCATCCCAACATCCAGAGATAGTTACACTATTATCTATTTTATTTTACCTATTACCATAGTGATAGAGAATTTTATATTCTTTTTTCTACTTAGTGCCTTACTGTACTCTGATGATTTCTGACATTATCAACAGTGCTTTATGTTCTTTGAGCATAACTTGGGCAATACATGCCAGCCCCATGTTGAGCTGAGTAGAAATTTCTCTGGCTTGTGGCTGTTGGTTCTGTCTCTCAAACAGACCTGGTTTTTGGTTTTCAAGGACTCCATTTCCTGGAGGAACTTGTCTGTAAGCTCCTTAATCTTCTCAGAGTAGTTCATATCCTTTAGTCGAAGTTGATACTCATTCTCCATTTTTAATTCTTCCACACGAGTCTTTAGCTCCAACATAATCTGAGCCTTTGGGAGAAGGGCAGAGAATCAAGAGCTTTCATAATGGGGTGAATCAGAATATTTAAACCTGTGACCTTGACCTGAGWCCTGCAGCTCTGTCTAGTTTCAAACTCAACATGTCTCAGGTAGAGCTTATCATCTTTCCCCGCAAGATTCATTCCTCTGTCCCCACAATATGYACTCGTGGGCTCCACTGTGTGCTAACAACTCTCACATCTCCTTCATTCAAATTGGCTCACATGTTACCTGCTCCATAAGGCCCACTTGAACCCCACTATTTAATCCTGCCACCCCCTTCCTATTCCCACCATTTCCTTCATGACCTCCCCTTGGGCCCTCTTACTGCTCTACTTTGGGTCACTTCCTTAGATCCTGGCACTTTCTAATATACTATATAATTTACTTATTATTTTGTTTTCTCCCCATTAAAGCTTAAGCTCCAAGAAGGCTGGGATCTTTGCTGGTTTTATTTGCTGATGTTATGGTTTGGAAGTGAGGTGTCCCCCAGTAGCTCACATATGAGACAATACAAGAAGGTTTGGAGGAGAAATGGTTGGGTTATAGCCTTAAACCTAAGCAAGTAGAGGCAGCTGGGGTGTGGCTGGAGGAAATGGTTCACTAGGGGAGTGATTATGGGGTAAATATTTTATCTGGCGAGCGGAGCCCCTCTCTCTCTCTCTCTCTCTCTCTCTCTCTCTCTCTGCTTCCTGATCATCATGTGAGCTGGTTCCCTCTACCACACTCTTCTATCATGATGTTCAGCCTTACCTGGAGCCCCAACGAATGGAGTCAGCCTTCTATGGACTGAGACCTCTGAAACTGTGAGCCCTCAAATAAACTTTCCTCCTCTATAATTGTTCTGGTTGGGTGATTTAGTCACAGCAGTGAAATTGCTGACTAAAACAACTGATGTACCCCAAGTACCTAGAACAATGCCTAACACACAGTAGATACTCAAAAGATATTTGTTTAATCACAATCCTTGCCCCATGGAACTTACATTCCAAATAAAAATATAATTAAAATGGGATAAGTGCCCAGAGCTGGGTAGTTCTCAGTACTGTTAGTTGTCCATCCTGATGCATTGTATACCCATGCTGGCCTCAGTGYTATTACTTTAACATAGGTCCTAATTCTTCTGCCTGGACAACTCCTGTCTCCACTGTCCTCCCTGATGCCAGAGTTTTCTAAAACTACTCTAAACACATACACCTCTCACTTCCTATGAAGTCAATGTTGATGGCACAGTGGGTGAGGACACAGGAGTTTTATTCTCCCTCACCTTGATGACACCCCATGCATCCCTATCAATCATCTTTACTTGTCTTTCCCCTACTGCCTGGGAGTGACTAGACCACAAGGAATGTGTTATGCTTGGCTCTGCACATGGCTATCATGCTAATGTGGACCTGGCATGTAGGAAACACTGAAATGAAGTATGAACAAAAGTTGCATGTACAAAGTCAGGGAGGTAGGAGCGAGGATGTACAGTCAGGGCCCTCATATGACTTGGTGACAATAGGAGGCAGCAGGAGAGGAGGCTGAGATTGGGCAAGTTTATCAAGGTCCCTGTAGGCCATGTAGGAAATTTATACTTGAGGGCTTCCAAGGGTCTTCAACTAGCTCGATTAAGCTGACTTTGATGTTATAAAGGCCTCTCCAAAGACAATGTGCAGCCTGGACCACTTTAGAGATGGAATGAAGGCAAGGTGATTAGTTGGGGGACAACAGCATGGTCCAAGTGAGAGATGGTTAAGGACTTGCACAGTTATGGAGGAGGGGAGCAGAGAGGCATGGGAAGACTAGAGAGAGATATTTTGGAGAAATGGTGCTAACTGGGTGGGGGGGGTGGAGGTGAGAAGATTGTGCATGAAAACTTTTTCCCCAGGTAGAGTCTCCAGGACCTGAGGATTAGGCTTGGCCTGTCTTGCTTCACTGCTTTCTCCCCAGAGCTCAGCATAGAACCTGCAATGCTGTCAGCACTGATAAATATTCATCAGATGAACAGACGTCTGTCTTGGACTAATGGGATACATTTATAAGTGGGAAAGATTCAGTTTGGATATGTGACATTTGAGGTAACTGCTCATTCCATGTTGCTGTAATCTCTCCAATGCGTGAACCTTGTCAAGATGCTTCCTAACTTATCAGTAGTGGGGCCTTATGAACAGTTTCAGTCTAAAATGTGGCTTAAAAGTCCCTCATGATCTCTCTGATTCTCTCACCACCCTTTCTCTCTGACACACCCTCTATTCTCCAGCCACAGCCACGGGTACCATCTCTCCTAGAGYACCTGACCCTCATCCTCAGCACGTACTCATTCCTCTGTGTGGAACGCCCTTTCCCATTTGTTCTGGAAGGTTGTGTGGGGCTCACTTCTTTTGGGTCAGAGTCCTTCCCCTGTGTTCCCACAGCATCGTTCTTTCATAACATCCACTCTCATTGATTTCTCTATTTTATTTTACCCAGCCCTTCTCTCAGGATATAAGCTGAAGGACTTGCCATGTCTTTTTCTCTGTGTCATATCTCTGTCAATATCACATGGAGAATGAATAAATGAAAAACGTAAAGAGGGGGTAAATCCTGGGCTGACAGAGAGTTACAAAGAATATAAAGGAAAAAAAGAAAGAGCTGGCAATTCTGGGGAATGTGACTTTTAAGAGACAGGTGGAAGAGGGGCCAGTAAGGAAGTAGGGGAGGAGGAATCAGAGAGGTTGACCGGTCATAAACAGAGTGTGGTCATACAGATGTTGAAAGAGAAGGGAGCCAGGAAGGGAGTCTCCCGTTTTCAGCCTAGCAATAGTGCTGTCAAGCATAGCTGTGGGTCAGCCATCAGCTCAGACACCTTCAGGCCTTGGGTTCAGCCTGGTGTCTCCTACTTGGCTTCTTTTTTACACCACGGTTAGAAAACAGAAGAAAACAGAGAGAAGGAAGGGAAAGAGACAGTTGCTTGCCATAAGGAGGCCAGGCTGCCTCTCTCCCTTTCTTTCCCCTTTGTCTTTCTGCAGGAGGTTTGAGGGGGCTCTAGTGGGCATCTCCAGGAAACACTAGAGGCCTATCACCCGGCTCTGTGGCTGCCTTCGCATTGCTGTTCTCACAGTTGTTCTTGTCTCCAGCCCCTATCTGGCTGTGAGCTTCCTGACCACAGGGCCCAGGCCTGTCTTTTCACATGTGCACCCCTAATGCTTAGCTAATGGCAGATATTCAATAGTACTCTTAGATCCTTGATGAGCAGCAATGAATGCATGACTCTCAGATTCTCCATGAACCATCCAGTCAGCTTCTCTTAGGTAGTGCAGCACAGAGCTATGCAATCAAAACTCCAAAACCACATCTTTATGGAATGCTTACTGCATTCACAGGAGGGATGTCCCTTGGGCATAGTGATGAGGAGTGGGCTCTGGATGAAATCTGGATTAGAAAACTGGTCTACACATTGCCAGCACAGTCACTTTGGACACAGCACTCTACCTCTCCAAACCTGTTTCTTGAAATATGGGATCAATAACAGTATCTTTTTCTGAGATGTATTGGGAGATATAAATGAGAAATACTTATAAAGTAGTCAGCACAGTGCCTGCTTCTTTGCAAATGCTGGTTATTTTTATACTTATGGTTTTATTGTCTGGTTAAGAGTTTTAGGAATGTTTCCTACATCCTTCATTTCTTTTATTTTTTTAAAGGAGGTTCTCAGTACTAGCAATGACTATGTTTCACAGAAACAACTGGTATATTTGGTTTGTTGGTATATTTATTGTCTTCCACATGCCTAGCAAGAACTAGAAACTATTGGTCATACAGGAGAATTGGATGCCATGGTTCTGCTCTCAAGGTAGCAAAAGAAAGCAGGATCAGTGGATCAAGGTCAAGATGACCACATGGAGGAAGACAGGCAGTGTGGGGGTATAAAAAGAATCAAGTACCAGTGAGAAGGACAGTCACAGGGTACAGCCAGGCTGAGGAGGACCTCAGATGCTGCTCTGAGGAGCTGGAATGCAGTCTGGTAAGGATTTTCCTCTTCATTGGGCCCAATTCTTACCTTCTCTTCCATGTCTGTTTTAGTCACGAGCACCTCTTCAGCAAAGCCCACCTCCCTTTCCCGCTTGATTCCTCGGCCATCCTTATCGAAGACCTTCCAGGTGAACAGACAGCCATCCTCAGCAGTAGTCAGCAGGTACTGATCATCAAAGGTGAGCAACATCTGCAGGGTAAAAGATCATAGGAAGCTTTTTAGGGCCATAGATGACCAGGGTGACTGTGCAAGGCCTCCATCCATACAACCTGGGAACAGCCTCATAGCAAGGCAGACCTGGTTCTGGGTAAGAATGAGGCAGATGCCCTCACAGACTTCTTTCTGTGAATGAATGAAAAGAAGCAAGGCTATAGCTACATTCCCCGTGGATTTGAACTCTTGAGTGAAATATGACCTAGAATGTATAAAGAATTCTTAAAACTCAATAGTAAAACAACCTAGCAATCCAAAGTGGGCAAAAGATTTGAGGACACTTTGGGGAAGAGGATATATAGATGGCCATGTATGCACATAAAAAGATGTTCAACATTATTAGTCATTAGAGAAATGCAAATTAAGACCATGATGAGATATCACTACTCACCTATTAGAACAGCTAGAATAAAAATTGTGATAATCCCATGTGCTGGCAGTGATGTAGAAGAACTGAAACATTGCTGATGGGAATGTAAAATGGTACAGTGACTCTGGATAAGCTTGGCTGCTGCTTAAAAAATTAAATACCCACTTCCCATCAGATTCAGCAATCATACTCCTGGGCATTTGTCCCAGAAAAGTGAAAATGAAAGCCCACACAAAAACCTGCACAAGATTGTTCAGAGCAGCTTTATTTGTAAAAGTCAAACTGGAAAAAAAATCAAAATATCCTATAAAGGATGGATGATTTAACAAATTGTGCTTACTGTGGAATATAACTCAGCAATAAAGCGAATCAACTATGAGTACACAAAGCACCTTGTTAGATCTGAAGAGCACTATGCTGAGTGAAAAACCCACCCTCAGAAGGTCACATAATGTATGATCCATTTATATACAATTCTCAAAATGACAAAATTATAGAAACAGAAAAAAAGAATGGTTGGTAGGAATTAGGCATGGTGGGGAGGGGTAGGCATGACTACAAAAGGGTGGCAAGAAGTGGGTCTAGGTGGGGAAGGAGCAATTCTGCATCTTGACTGTGGTAGGTTATATAAATGACCCATGTGATGAAATGACCAGGCTCACACTCAGGCAGTGGACCAGCGCCAGTTTTCTGGTTTGATATTGTACTAGAGTTACATAAGATGATCACTGGGGTAAACTGGGTGAAGGCTATACTGGCCCTCTGTGCTGTCTTTAAAATTTCCTGTGACCCTGTAATTAATACCTAGTAAAAAATTAAGACAAAAGAGTTAACTATAAAAAATGCCTTCTCATAATTAGCAATGTGCAGAACTTTAAAAATAGTAATACTCTTTTACTTAGGAGTTCTATCTCTGTCTAGGAATTGAGCCTTAAAAAATTGTCAGAGATGCACATATAAATTTGCAGACTAGGATGTTCATTATAGTTCATAATGTAAATGCCTAGTTGAAAGAGAAGAGTTAATAACTTATGGTCCATCATATAATAGGATATACAAACACACACACACACACACACACACACACACACACACATATATTCTACCATGATGTATATATATGGTCTTTTATTTCTAAAATAGACATGCACTGCTTCTATAATAGAAATTATTTTATTCATAAATAGTATATCTTAAAAGAAGAAGGGGAATATATTACAATAAGTTACTTTGGATCTAAGGCCTAGGCTTAGCACAGGGATATTTCATTTTATAATAAAAATACTTTCTTAATAAGAACAATGCCTACAGGTAAGCCAATATTGAGTTTGGAACATATTAAAAACCTCAGGTATTCATGTCATTCAATCTGAAATGAGAGAGAAGGGAAGGGAGATGATACACATTTTTCCCAGGTCCTATTTTTAGTAAACTACTTTTTTTTTTCTATGAATAACCTTTAATTTGCTTTTGGGTATGCTTTCTTTTTCTTTCTTTTTTCTTTTTTGTGGTGCTGGGGATTGAACCCAGGACCTTGTGCATGGGAGGCAATCACTCCCCTACCAACTGAGCTATATCCCCAGCCCATATTGGGTATGATTTCTTGGAAATCATCTTTCATGTCAGAGAATTATTTTTTATTCACATTTTTATTGTGGCAAAATACATATAACATAAAATTTTACCATCTTAACCATTTTTAGGATTTCAGTTCCCTGTTAATACAAACACTTCTTTGTAACAGTTGTATTAACATTTGTAGTTGCTATGCAGCTATCACCATCACCCAACTCTCTTTTGTCTTGTAAAACCAAAACTCTATACCCATTAAACAAGAATTCCCCACTCCTCCCTCCCCCAGCCCACCACATTCTACATTCTCTTTATGATTTTGACAGCTCTAAGAATCTTACAAAGGTGGAATCACACCATATTTGCCCTTTTGTGATTGACTTACTTCATTTAGCACAGTGTCCTCAAGCTTCCTCCCCCTTGTAGCATACTGAAGAATTCCCCTCCTTTTTTTTTCTTTAATATTTTTTTAGTTGTTGATGGACCATTATTTTATTATTATTTTATTTATTCCTTTATATACTGTGCTGAGAATCGAACCCAATGCTTCACACATGCTAGGCAAATGCTCTATCACTCAGCCGCAACCCCAGCCCTTCCCCTCCTTTTTAAGATTGAATACTATTCCATTGTATGTCTATGCCACATTTGGCTTATCCACTCATTGGCTGATGGAAACTTGGGTTGTTTTCACATTTTAGTTATTGAACATAGACACTACTTCATGAGAAGAAATGGAAGGACAATTTACAAATGTGTGCTCATATTGTTGTCCCCAGCGGTAGCCTTTTGCATCCTTGGGGAGTGGTAGTAACTAGTCTCCTGGTCTATGATTCCTTTTAGTCCAGGACAATCTCTGGAGGAGGGAATATCTGAGAGTCCTTAGCAGTCAACACTCACAGAGCCTGGGAGACGTGATGGTGACTGGTGGCAGTCACCAAATGGCCATTACTGTGCATAATATTATGGTGAACAACCTTGTACATAAATCTTTAGGTGTAGCTCTGATTATTTCCTAGAAGTATTTAAACACAAAGTCAATAGAAGCTTACTGAATGGTTGGTAGGTGAATAAACAAGGAGGAAGAAGGAATAAGGAAAGAGAAGACAATGGAGGCTGAAGGGAGGAAGAAGGTATGTTGGTTAGGGTCTGGAGCTGGACCCCTGAGGAAGGGTCCCTCTCACCTTGGTGATAGGACCAGCATGAGCCTGATACTCATTGAATTCTTTCTGCAAAGGCAGGGGGTACTTCATGGCGCGGATGGTTCCCACTGAGGTGCCCACAAACATCATGCGCCCCGAATGGGAGATGACAATTGCCGTGTAGACGACGTCAAATGCTGACATCTCTCGAAGGACCTGGAACACAGACAGCTCTGTTCAACTGAGAGGATGAGCTATGTTTCCTGTGTCCCGATATCATTCTCTTCCTTCCCTCTAATAGCACTCTTAGAGTCTGTATTAAAATAATGTTTTTTTTTTCCTGTTCCTTATCACATCTTGCATGGTGCCTAGCACATAAAAGGTTCAAACTAGGTATTTCTCAGTTGCTTGACTGATGAATAACCAATGGTAGAAGTTAGGAATGATGCCAATGACTGGAATCTTTGTACAGCACTTCCCCTGTGCCAAGTGCTATTCTACAACCTTCCCATGTTGTAACTCGTTCAGCCTTCAACACAATCTGGAGAGAGCGACCATTAGGCCTATTTTAAAGATGATGAAAAGATGAGTCAAGAGGTGAAAAATAACTTGCCTCAACTCATAAACCTAGTAAGTGCAGTCTGACTGTTATTTCTTCTTTTTTTTCCTTCTTCTTCTCTCTCTCTCTTTTTTTTGGTACTGGGATTGAACCTAGGGATACTTTACTGCTGAGCTAAATCCCCAATCTTTTAGTTTTAATTTTTTAATTTTGAGAAGGGGTCTTGATAAGTTGTTTAGGTCCTTGCTAAGTTGTTGAGGCTAGCTTCAAACTTGCTATCCTCCTGTCTCAGCCTCCTGAGTTGCTGGGATTATAGGTGTGTGCCACTGACCAGTCTCTCTCTGCTCTTGATGGCCATGCTGTCATGTACCTCAGAGAGAGAACAGGAGGCTGATCATAAATTTATTCAGAAAACATTTATTAATTCCCACTATATGAACATAACTCCATCTCCAGGGAACTCATTCATTTCTTCACTCATTCTCCCACCCATTTATTGAATGTCTATTGCAGGCCATGCAGTGCACTAGCTAGTAGGAATATCAAGAGGAGTGAAATTCCTACCCCGAAGGAGCTTTATTTTAGTACAGTGCTATAGAAGCTGTCACAGAACTAGGACCAAGTTACCTAGGGTACAAAGGAGTCACCATTCACTGAGCTATGTTCCAACCGTGGGGAACCTGCTGCAGTAGCTATGTGCAAACCCCACCACCCCCAGCATCAGCCCTATGAGAAGAGCTGTGGAAAAGCCAGAGAAGCCAGTGATAATCAGCTCTTGCTGGGCTCCTGGAAGACCACCCAGCCACATTTATGTTAAGTCTCTTTCCAGAGCCAAATGTGGTAATTCTAACATCTGAGAGATGAGGGATTTCGAAAGAATACAGAGGCAAGTCCAGGTGACAGCAGCTAACTATACTTGTGCTTTTACTCCAGCTAAGTGCCAACACCAAGGGCCAGAGTGCAGTTTAGAGACATTGCTGACTTCCATTCCTGCAGGGCAGAGGGGAAGTTACAGACAGCAAGCAAAATGGAAATGGAAAAGGGGCCTACAGTTTAACCGCCAGGAAAGGCACTGAGCAGGAAATTCAGGAAGTGACAGTAACTGAGCTGACCCAACAGGAAGAACAGCCAGAGGCTGTCCCATGAGGAAGGGCCCTCTTTGCCAGCACACTGTCTGCTGTAAGCATGGGTGGCTGTCTTTTGTAAATCAACACAATAGCCCAGTGGTAGGGCAGGGGCAGACTCACTGAAGAATCTGCAATCTCCTTGAGGGTCTGGTCTGATCCAACAGCAAAAATAATTCTGCCATCAGGGGAGACAGTAACACAGTTGTAGCTGCAGGACTTGAGCACACACTCTGTCTCTCTCTTTCCTGAAGACAGATTCCATTCATATATAGCACCATCTGTGCCACCAGAAATCAGTTTGCTGTCATCTGCGTTCCAGACAATTGAGCGAATCTGCAGATGATGAAGACACACCCAGGTAAGAGTGTTTGCACACACACCGCAACATGGCCATGGGACGAACTCCTCAGGTGCTCCACTAGACTGAGGCAGGATGGCTCTTCCTGGTAGAGGAAATCACAAAGCATAGCTTCTTGGAAATGTTAACATTCTGTTTTCTAGATGCTTGCAAAATACTGCAGGTAAAACATTCACATTTCTTTTATACTTTATGAATGCAAAGAATGACTCACAATGGTTTCTTAATGCTACAGCCAATTAATTATTGCTACATTTTAAAAACTTTGAAATTTTGAAATTGTGTGTGTGTGTGTGTGTGTGTATGTGTGTGTTTTCACAGGAAGTTGCAAAAATAGCACAGAGAGAGTGGATTTCCAGGGTGCCAGAATGAGGATCTCAGCTGATCTCCCCAGTGAAATGAGTTAACTAGTCAAAACTGATTGAAACAGTGAAATAATCTTTTAAAGTCTCTGGAAATTCTCCTAAGGGCAGGCGGCAATGGAGAAACATTCATTCAAGAGAATCTACCTGATCTTGGTAAGAACAGTCTGTGGCATCTGAGTCATGACTGGCTCCATTCCCAGCCTCAGCTCCAGAAACGCCACCATTGTGCACTCTGAGCAGGAGCTGCCAAGATGCCGGGACTCCCTTTCCTTACAGCTCCTGATCTTGGGCTATATGGTTCATCCTGGGAAGGTCAGACTGCTGGCATTTCTTATCCCCACCCTAGCCCCATGTTAACAAAAGCTCCGTCTCAGGCAGGCATGGCCAAGAAGATCTGGTTTCCCCACCACCAGTTAGTCCCTACTCATTGGCAGAAGAACTATTCCAATTATAGCAAGCCTAGAATACTGGTGCCCAATTGCTCGTGCCTGTTTGCTCACAGGTGGAGGCTCCTCACCATGAGGAGCAAGCTGAAAAGATCAGGGGTTCCATTTACCCTACGTACACACCACAAGTTCCACTCACAGAGTGGGCATGTCACTCCAGGAAAAGCAAGTCCCTACCCTGGCACTGGTGTGGTAGAACCAGGATTTTGCCCAGGGAAAAGTCAGGCCTTAAGACAAAGAACTCTATAGCTCTATTTGAGGAGACCAATTTTACTTTCTTAAGTCCCTTGGGTGAATTTTTCATTTCATTATTATACTTTTCAACTCCAGAATTTGTTTAACTTTTAAAATAATTTCTGGCTTCTTATTAATATTGCCTATTTGATCAGACTTGTCATCATACCTTACTTTACTTGGGACAGAACCCAGTGAAGTCTGTGCCTATGGGCATGTTTAAAACAATGGAGACCTTGGTGGAGAGTGATTAAGAGGAGGCTGGTAATCATGATATAAGAAAAATCATAGTGCAACCAAGTTTCAATAGAACAAGGGAAAGAGTTGGGAAGAACACTCTGTGGGCTGGAAGGCTGTGGGCATGTGCTAGGCTGCATACCCTCGGCAGCCACTGGAGCAGAGATGGGGAAACGTGAGCACACCCCTGTACTGCTGGAAGACCTGCTAGCCCCTGGAGGAGCCCCAATACACACTGGACAATAAGCTCTGACTCTGGGCATCTCATAGGAAGCAAATCTTAAAAATAAAGCCAAGTGCATCCCTGGCAGCCTGGAAACTGCATATCTGATCTTGCCATACCTTTTTAGGGACAATCAGAGTGGGCACATTACACTACCAATCTCTGCTGAACATGTAGCAAAACCCATAAACTCCCTGAAACTGTGATAGTAGCTCCCAAGTCTCACACAAATCCAATAGTAAAAGGTAAAAATAGTAAAAGGTAAAAAAATAAAATGGTTAAGAGGGTTCATACACAATCCATGATTTATAAGCAGCTTACACCACCTGGAGGCAAACCTTAGGCAGCCAGGTTAAAAACGATAAAAAGAAAAAAAAAATCTAAGCAGGGATATCAGAGGCTTTACACTGCAGGGGAAAAAGACTTCATAGAATTAGTTCAGTCAAGTCACTAAATAAACAACCAACGGCCACCAACAATTTCCTATGGGGAATAAGAATCCATATCTAATTATTAGATATCTAGTATCTAATAATTAAGATAACATGTTATCTAAAATAAAGTCCATAAAAATTATGAAACATACAAAAACCCCAAAATCCCCAACAGATAGTCTGACCAAAAAGAAAAAACAAAAGAAAAAAGTAAGCAGGCAAAAGAAACTGCCTTTGAAGGGGCCCAGAGGGTACACTCGAGACAGTCAGAGACCCCTGTAGACACAAAGGATACATGCATTCCTGAATTTTTAAAAAATTTAATTTAATTTATTCTAATTTGTTATACATGACAGCAGAATGCAATTCAATTCATATTATCCAAATAGACCACAATTTTTCATATCTCCGGTTGTACACAAAGTAGAGTCACACCATTTATGTTTTCATACAGGTACTTAGGGTAACGATGTCCTTCTCGTTCTGCCATCTTTCCTAGCCCCATGCCCCCTCCGTGCCCCTCCTTTCCCTTTGCCCTATCTAAAGTTCATCTGTAAGCCAATCTCAAAAAAACCGAATGTCTGATATAAGGATGTACTCCTAGATTTTAACTCATAGCTTGTTAGCTATTGAAAGCATGGGATGCGCTTCCCTGCTCTCCCACTTTCACTCAGGGCTTGTTAGCTGCTAAGAGCATGATCTGTACCTTCCCACCCCCCACTAACTCTCAGTCTTATCAGCCTCCAAAGATCAGGTGTATCATTAAAGCCAGGACAGCCTTGCTATGACTCTCTGAGCACAAACAACATAAAGGATAAAACTGTTGAGGAGTTTTATCCTTTATGGTGAAACAGCATTGAAACCAGGGCCCTGGTTACCTGCCTTGATTTGTGTCCTTTTTCACTCCTACCCATGTGTTCTCTTAACGGTCACACAGCAGCTCATCCTCATCACAAGACAGAGAGGTTCAAACAGGACGTCACATCGATTTGCAAGATGTAATATCTGGTRCCAGGATGATGGGCTAAGGTCCCCTCCCCCTCAAGGTTAAGAGCTTTCCCAGGAAAAGAAAAACACCTTTAAATATGTACCTGAAGCCAATTAATATTCCCATCCTCACATGAATAAACTAGCTCTCTCCCTCTGTCCTGGGAGCTAGCTGGACATTCTTTGGTCAGTGCTGTGTCTCCCTTCTGCTTGAGCAAGAAGTCCCAACAAAGTGTCCTGACCCTGTTAAGTTAGTGTTCCTTTATCTGATCTTTCTGATGGAGACCACAAGACCCCACCTAGCAGACAAAGACTTCAAAGCAGCTAATAAAAATATGTTCAGTGAACTAAAGGAAACCATGCTTAAGTAATTAAAGGAAGGTATGATGACAAGTCTGATCAAATAGGCAATATTAATAAGAAGCCAGAAATTACTTTAAAAGTTAAACAAATTCTGGAGTTGAAAAGTATAATAATGAAATGAAAAATTCACCCAAGGGATTTAAGAATAGATTTGTTTTGTTTTAGTTTCAAGATTCTCACTATGTTGCCCAAGCTGGCCTTAAACTCTCCAACCTTCTGCCTCAGCCTCCCAAATAGCTGGGGTCATAGGTGTGTGCCACTACACCTGGCTTCAATGGTAGATTTGAGCTGGTAAACTTGAAGATAGGTCAATGGAGATTATATAATCTGAAGAACACAGTAAAAAATTCCAAAAAATTAAAAGAGCCTCAGAGAAATGTGGGTGCCAATTAAATGTACTAGCATGTATAACAGGAGTACCAAGAAGAGAGAAAAAAAAAAGAGGCAGAAGATATATATGCATAAATATTTAAGGCTGAAAACATCCCAAATGTATTGAAAAACATTAACCTACACCTCCAAGAAGTGTAATAATCTCCAAGTAAAATAAATGCAAAGAAATCTACATTCAAACACACTCTAGTTAAAATACCAAAAGCCAAAGATAAGAAAATCTTAGAAGCTATAAGAGAAAAACAATTTATCACAAATAAGCAAACTCCAATAAGATTTACACTGGACTTCTTATTAGAAACAAATGAGTACAGAAGACAGTGGGAGACATTTTCAAAGTACTGCCAGTAAAAATCAACCAACCAACCAACCAAACAACACGCCCTTACATCTAGCAAAAATATTTTCTATATTTGAAACATGAAAGGCAAATAAGGATGTTCCCAGATTAAATAAACTGATAAAATTAATTGCTAATAAGTCTGTCTTTCAAGAAATACTGAAGGAAATTTTTTAGACTGAAAGCAGGCCACCCAACACAGCAATCTAAATCCATGCCAAACAAAACAAAACAAGCAATTTCAAAAGTAATCAAGACACCGTGTAATTACATATTGTATTTTCTTTATTCTCTAAGCTCACTGAAAGAGCAATTGCAATGAGAAAGTTCATAAAAAATTCACAAATTTACACTTGCTCTCATTTTTCTCTCAGCTTCTTTAAAAGGCAAAAATCAGGTAATGTAAAGTAATAAATAAACACTGTATTGTTGAATTTGTAAAAAGAAGATGCAATGTGTCTAACAATGATAGAACAATGAGGGCTGTACTGAATGGACCTTTGTAAGAGCAAAGCTTCTATTTTTACTGGAAATAAGTTAGATAGTGTTTGAAGTGTTTTTTTTTTTTTTTTTTTTTTTTTTGAAGCTGGTTTTCCATCTTTAGCCTGTTAATATGGGGGATTACATTGACCGATTTCATATACTGAGCTGGGCTCGCAGTCCTAGGTGAAACCCCACTTGGTTTTCCAAATTCATTTTCTTACCCTCTTGATCTTAGGCCTCTTCCTCTTCGGGTCTCACATTTAATCTCCTCAAGGACCTTTTGATTTTATTTTCTAAATAGCTTTTGAATCCACCCATTTCTTCCTAACACAGCTACCACCACCAGGATGCAAGACACTAATATTTATTATGGAACTATTCAGAACAGCCTCCTTATTGTTTCCATCTCTATCTCCTTCAATATATCGTTCATTCTGCAGCCCAGGTAAACTTTTAAAATGCAAATTTGGCCATATCATTCCCTGTCTTGAAAGTCTTCAATGATTTTAAGGAACAAAGAGGATAAATAAGAAAAAATCCTTATAAAACCTACATGATTCCACGCACTGGGGCTCCTGTAAACCTCTCTGGTCTTAGCTCACCTATGATGCTAACGTTCCATCCCCACAGACACTTCAGCTCCTCTGCACTCTCCTGTCTCTGGGTCTTTGGATCTTTAAGTGCAGTGGAGATTCCCACCAGTTGTCTGATCAATTCCTTCCCACTCCTCTATGACTGAGCCTTTGCAAGCCCCTGAACCTACATTATCCCCATCCCTTCATTATTTCCTCTCATAACAACCCCATGTTTATTTTCATTAACTGCAATTTGTCTGTGTATTTTTTTTTAATCATTTCTCTCCCCAAGTAGACAGCGAACACCACAAGGAAAGGAACCACTCCTCCTTGGTTTACCTGGGTCCCACTGACTAGCACAGTGCTCGGCCCTGTGCCCCATTTTCCCAGAGGCCGTGCATTCACTCACCTTCCCAGTGTGTCCTTTCAGGTTGGTGATGTTCTCTAGGCTTGTGGTGGTAAAAACGTGAATCACATTTCCATTGATTGCAGCAAACAGGTGGCCTCCATTGCTAAAGGCGCACTACAGGGAAACAGCAAAAGAGCAAGCAGGAGGTGAGCAGTCGAACCGCACGCTGCTGCCAAGGGCTGCTTCTCTGGAAGAGTTCAGGTGGGAATTATGCTTGGGATGGTGGGGGGAAGGTGCAGTAGATCCGAGACTTGGCTGATATCTTCAGACACTGCACTATTCTGTAGCTGGCACCAGCCAAGATTCACCACTGTCTTGTTTCAAGTCATCCTGGGGGATCCTGATGGGCTGGGCACTGCCTCTTACTGTTGATGAGGACTCTCTGAGATTACTTTTCTTTTTCACGACTTGTTAAGGCTCGATGATCACAGAGCAGACTTATCACAGGTGGGATCCTACAATGTTTTAGATTCAATGAAATATTTTGGCCAGATGTGGTGGCGTACACCTGTAATCTCAGCGGCTCAGGAGGCTGAGGCAGGAGGATTGTGAGTTCAAAGCCAGCCTCAGCAAAAGTGAGGCACTAAACAACTCAGTGAGACCCTGCCTCTTTAAATAAAGTACAAAATAGGGCTGGGGATATGACTCAGTGGTCGAGTGCCGGTGGGTTCAATTCCCAGTACCTCCCCGCACCTCCCAGAAAAAAGAAAAAGAAATGTTTTGGTGGGCATAAGAAAACAGGGATAAACCCATATGCTCACTTTTATGAGCTTGGTGGGAGAAGCATTGGATTTTTTTTAAGCTTTGGTCTCACCTCCCCAGAGTGTTAGTTCATAATTTTTCAACCCTGGATTTCCAAGAAACCAGACCTTCATCTCCAGCAGGTTTTACCTCTCTGCATCCTCTGATAGAATACTCTTTGAAAGAACGTATATCATCAATGAGTAGATTCATAAGGCGTAGTTTATCAGCAAACCCTACTACAACGAAGTGTCCAGATGGGTGAAGGCTGATTGTGTATGCTTCTTCTTGATATTCTTTAAAAAGTTCCAGAGTGCTGTGAAAAAGATCCATGATTGAATTTAAGCCAAATTCCTAAGTTCCCCAAGTCCTCCATTGATGTGACATACATTATTATCACAGTATTAAAGATTTAATTGATTGTTTGCAATTATTGTTTCCTCTGTTTTCTAGACTTTGGTTACTTATGGCACCTAGTATGGCCATTGGGGGAACTGGTCAAGGTGTTGCCTAGTGATGTCAAAAACACACCTCTGTTGGAATTCCAAGAACCATGGGTACTGTGCAACTATTCTTTTTGTTTCTAGTAGTCCCAACAGCTGCATACCAGAACAAAGAAAACACTACAGGTGTAGTCTAGGGCGGGAAGTTCTTAGGGAAGCTGCATCAGAAACCTACAGTTGCTAGGGACTTGGGGGTGACTGGGGCAGTGATGAGGAGAGAGGAGTAAAGTTCACTCTTTTGGATGCTCCAAAGAGTGAACAGCAGACCCAGGGAGAACTGGGGAGACAGTAGAGTTTATGTTAGAAGGTGAGACATTGGTGTGTTATCTTTATGTCCCAAGTGTACAGCACAGTGTCTAGCATGGAAGGCATTTAATAAACTACAAGTAATTTTCTAGTCCATTCAAGAGTAAAAAACAGGTAGACTGACTGACTTGATTTTTAAAAAGGGCTTTTCCAACTGAAAGCTTCTAAGTAATTAAATGGTAAAACTCTGTAATTAAAACTTTCACATATGTAAATTTAATAGGAATTCTGCAAACTACAGCAGCAAAGCCTTTCATTTCTTACTTTGATTCATAATTCCAGATGCGAACAGATCGATCCAGTGAACAGGTAGCGATGAGGGGTTTGCGGATGCAGGTAGATAGACCGGTGATGGATGCTGAGTGTAATGGGTACATCAGGTACTCGAAATGAGCAGGCTCCCCCTGGAAACCATACAGAATGAGATCCAGAAGGGTAAGCAAAAAATTTGGTTATGTATTTCAGCTCTAATTAGTACCGAGGAACATTAATTAGCCTATATGCACAGAAATCAGGCCACGGAAAATTATTTTAATGTTATGCATATTTTCATATGCTGCATTATTTTAAAATATTATTTTTTAATGGAAATAAACATTTTATTCTATGAGTATCCCAAATTTAATTTAACCATTCCTTTATTGTGGGGACATTTAAGTGGTTTCCAATTTTTGTTAATTAGGAAAAAACATAACACCAAGTTTCTTTCCAAAGAAACTGCACTAACTAGCACCAGCAACAAATGAGAGTAAATGAGTAAGTGATTTCAAATTGAAATGCATCCTATTGCATTGGTCATGAAGGTGTTTCTATGTCTGTCGACCCTCTAGAGGCATTATCCCAGGGACTTCTGCATGAGGAGTGAAGCTGGGAAAGTTAATGAGGTGGACATATTTTACCTCTGTCCACAAGTCAAGACAAAGGCAGAGATGGAAATTCCCTCGAATTTTGGGTTTTTTATATGCACTCACTCCTTCCTTCTCTACCATCTCAGGGAAAGAGGTGCTTTGCTGGATGGTGGGGGTGGCATGAAGTACTTCTATTCATCTCCATCTGTTACCCCCCTTCCTACTCCACCCACAATATCTTGAAGATCCCTGTCTCCACTTACACATTCCCATTAGCTTTTTTTAAAAAAAATATTTTTTAGTTGCCAGTGGATCTTTATTTTATTTACTTATATATGGTGCTGAGAATTGAACCCAGTGCCTCACACATGCTAGGCAAGCACTCTACTGAGCCACAACCCCAGCCCCCTCCCATTAGCTTTTAAATACACTCAAAAATCTTTCTTGCCTTAAAAATAAAAGCAACCCTTTCCTTTCCCCCTATTCTTTGCACCTGTGCCTGCAATAGTTGTTTGACAGGTGAGAAGTCAGACAAATGGGTGTACTGGTTTCCCTCAGAATTCATGACTACAAACCTGTAGGGGTCATTTAGTACTGCTTGGCAATGTTTTCCAAATATGTTTATTTTCTGAATCTCCAACATGACTATTTCATACTATTTATTCTCTCTTTTCAAACTTTCTAACTTTTTCATCCATGTCCATATCTCTTCTGAACACCTCATCTCATATTTCTTCGATATTTTTGTTTTATTTTCTATCTCAAAAGCATAATTAAAATTCATATAACATAAATTTTACTTTGTTTATTTAATCTCCTCCTCCACCTTCAATTTCCTATTTCTTCCTTATCATGGATGGGTTTTACTGATCTTCTTGATTATAGGTATATTTTGTATTTCTATAAATGCATGGTGCTTTAGATCTCATCCTGTATTTTTACTTTTTCCTCTCAATACTATATTTTTAAGGAATCACCTATGTTGTGGCATGTATAATTTATTGCTTCTAATAATGTTTGTATTCTCTAATTTTCTTCTAGTTACTTTATTTCTCCATTACCACTAGGGATGAATACTAGGAGCGTCTTAACTGTCTATTGCTACAAATACAAAGATGAACATCTTTGTACATGTTTAGCCTGTGGGTTGGAATTTCTGGTATGTATTCAGTGGCAGACTATTGGATACCAAGACACATACATTCTCTATTTAGTTTTCTACAAAGAATTATCAGATTGCTCTCTAGAATGGTTGTACCTATTTATATGCCTATCAAGGCACAACAGGATTCCCATTCCTTTTTGTCCTCAGAAGTCTCTGATGACCTTTCTAAGTTTTGATAATATAATGAAGAAAATCCTTGTAAAGAAGGATCTCAGTGTTGTTTTAATTCACATTTTTCTGCTCATAGGCAACAGAAACTGTGAGAACAAGGTGTTTGATTTAATAGACAGTGGTTTCAAGGTAGCAATTATAAACATGTACCAAGAAATAAAAGAAATCACAATTTAAAAAGAAAAAAGTGATGACAATGTTTATTAAATACAGAACATCAGTGGAGGAATAGATGGTATAAAAATAGAAATTCTGGAGTTGAAAAGTATAATAATTGAAATGAAAATTCACTAGAGGGGCTCAAGAGTGAACTGGAACTGGCAGGAGAATTAATAAACATAAATCACTAAAGATAATGCAATTTGAAGAACACAGAAAAAGAATGAAGAAAATCAAGAGAACTTCAGATAAGTGTGGGACCTCATATTAAGCACACCAACATATACATAATAATACTTCTAATCATAGAAGAGAGGAGAGGAAAGAGCCAAAAAATATTTGAATACTGGCTGGAAATTCTTAGAAAAATGCAAACTGAAACCGACTCAAGAAGGACCAGATAATCTAAATAGATTCATAATAGGCAAAGAGATTGAATTAGAAATTTAAAAAAAAACTTCTCACAAAGAAAAGCCCAGGCCTAATGGTTTCATTGGTGACATTTATTTAATGAAGAATCAAGGCTAATTCTTCACAAACTCTTCATAAAGTAAGTGACGCTGGAATATTTCCTAGTTAATTCTAGGAGGCTCTGATACTAAAAACAAAGACATCAGAAGAAAACTAGAGATCAGTATCTCTTATGAATATCAATTCAAAAATCCTCAATAAAATATTATGGTTTGAATCTAACAACATATAAAAAAGATTATATACCATGACCAAATGGATTTTATCCTAGGAATACATGGAAGATTTAACATCTGAAAATCAATTAATATAATATACTATATTAATAGAATAAAAAAACAAACTACATGGTCATCTCAATATACACTCAAAAAAAGTATTTGATAAAATCCAACATCCTTTCAGAGAAAAACACTCAACTAGGAATGGGGGTAGGGAAATTTTGTAGCCTGATATATGATATCTTCCAAAACACTTTGGATAATATTCCACTTAATGGTGAAAAATAGGATACTTTCATCTTAAGATCAGGAACAAGACAAGGGTATCTGTATTCATAACACCTATATAACAGGGTTCTACAGGTTCTAGCCATAGCAATTAGTTAAGAAAAATAAATAAAAGGCATTCAAATTGGAAAAGAAGAATAAAAATTCTGTATTGCAATTGACATGGTCTTGTGTATGGAAAATTCTTAGGAATCCAGTAAAAAACTATTGAAACAAATAAATGAGTTTGATAAGGTTGCAGGATATGAATCAGTATGCAAAAATTAATTGTATTTTTATATTCTTGGAACTAATAGTTAAAAAACACAGCACAACTCTATTTACAATAGCATAAAAAATATTAGCTGGGCATGGTTGTACATGTCTGTAGTCCCAGCTACTTGGGAGGATTAGGTGGAGGACCTTTGAGCCCATGAATTCAAGATCAGTCTGAGCAATGTAGTGAGAAACCCCCATCTAAAAATATATTTAGAAATAAATTTAACTAAAGAAGTGCAAAAGTTACATTCTGAAAGTTACAGAACATTATCAAAATAAATTAAAGATCTAAACAAATGGGTGGGAAAATCCCATGTTAGTGGATTGGTGGGCCTAATATTGGTAAGACAGCAATAAGTGCATTAGGGCTGGGGATGTAGCTCCATGGGAGAGCACTTGCCTAGCATGCATGAGGTCCTGAGCTCAGTCTCCACTATCCCCACCCCCCTACAAACATATAAATGTAATAAGTCCCAAATTGCTCTACAAATTAAATGCTAATCCTATAAGGATGCTAGATCACTTATTTGTAGAAATTAGCAAACTGATTCTAGAATTTATGAGGCATTGCATGGGACTTGGAATACCTATAACAATCTTGAAAAGAGAACAAAGTTAGAAAACTCATGCTTTCTGATTCCAAAACTTACTAATAGGCAACAATAATCAAGACAGTCTGAAGCATGGTACAGGCAGAAAGACAGATAATTAATGGAACAGAGAATAGATAACCTAGAAATAATCTGTGTATCAACTGATTTTTAACAAGGTAACTAAAACCATTCAATGGAGAAAGAATAATTTTTCAAAAAGTGGTGCTGGAACAATTGGACCCCTACTCTATGCCTCTTASATAAATGAACTCAAAATGGATCCGAGACTAAATGAAGAGCTAATACTGTAATACTCTTAAAAGAAATATAGGGGTAAATCTTTATGACCTCAGCTATGACAATGAATTCTTGAATATAACATCAAAAGGACAATCAACAAAATAAAAAATAAATTCAGCCAGGCAGGGTAGCTCATGCTTGTAATTCCAGCAACTTAGGAGGCTGAGGCAGGAAGATTTTAAGTTTGAGGCGAGCCTTACAACTTAGCAAGACTCTGTCTCAAAAAGGGCTGGGGATACAGCTGAGTGGTAGAGCACCTCTGGGTTCAATCCCCAGAATGAGTGAATGAATGAATGAATGAATGAATAGACTTCATCAAAACTGAAAACTTTCATGCATCAAAGAACACTATCAAGAAAGTAAAAGGATAACATACAGAATGGGAGAAAATACCTTCAATTTACACAACTGATAAGAGACTTGTATGTATAATATATAAATAACTCTTACAACTAAATAAATAAAGGACAACAGAATTTAAAAAGTGGGCAAAAGATCTGAATAGACATTTTTCAAAGAAGACATACAAATGGCAAAAAGCACATGAAAAGATGTTTACTATCATAGTGATCAGGAAAATGCCAACCAAAACCATGATGAGACTCCACATATTGTGGGATGGCTATAACCAAAAAGCCAGATAATAACAAGTGTTGACAATGATAAAGAGAAATCAGAACCCTCATATGCTGCTTATGGGTATATAAAATGGTGTAGCATTTTATATACCCATAAGAAAAACATTCTAGAGCAGCTCCTCAAGTGGTTATACACAGAGTTACCATGCCACACAATTCTATTCTTAGGAAGAGAAATGAAACCATATACCCCCACAAAAACTAGTTCAGGCATGTTCACAATTGTAGTATTCATAAATATCCAAAAGATGGAGAAACCTTAATATGCAAAACTGATGCATAAACAAAACATGGTATATTCATACCATGGAATACTATATTTAGCTATAAAAAGGAATGAAGTAGTGATACATGCTACAAAGGGGATGAACCTTCAAAGCACTATGCTTGGGCTGGGGATGTAGCTCAAGTGGTAGCGCGCTCGCCTGGCATGCATGCGGCCCGGGTTCGATCCTCAGCACCACATACAAAAATGTTGTGTCCGCCGATAACTAAAAAATAAATATTAAAAATTCTCTCCCCCTCTCTTTAAAAAAAATAAAATAAAAAAAAGGACTATGCTAAATCAAAGAAGCCAGTCATAAAAGTCCACATATTGTATGATTCCCTTTATATGAAATGTCTGGAATAGGCGAATCTATAAAGACATGAAGTAGATTAGTGGTTGCTTAGGGTTGGGGAGGGTAGGGTAGGAGGATGGAGGGATAATAGCTAAAGAGTGAGGACTTTTATTTGGAGGTGGTGAATATGTTCTAAAATGAACTCTGGCATTGGTGTACAACTCTGTAAATACTCTAAAATCTGTTGTATGATATACATTGAATAGGAAAACTCTATAATGAATTCATTCAATAAAGCTCTTACTAAAAATCCATTACTTAGAAAGGTATGTTAAAAATCTCCAACCACAATTGTAGGTGGTCTATTTTCCTTGTTGTTTTGTCAACTTTCTCTTTATATATTTTGAATCCATGGTGCTAGGTGCATACAGATTTAAAATTATGATAACTTATTAAGTGAACTTTTTATAAGTACAACGTGAGCTTCATTTTTAATGGTACTTTTAATGGTAATGTCTGCAGTGTACTTATATTAGCTTTGTCATTCTAAAATGAAGCAAAAATACAACAAAAACATTTTTATATAAATACTCTTGTGCCCATAAACAAGTATAGCAAATTAATTCCTTGAAGAGCAATTGCTGGTAAAAGGTAGATAGGTAGGATTTACATGTGACAATGCCAATGTGTCCTCTGAAGAGGATACAGCAACAATCACAATCCCACCCTGTGTAGCAGATGCTTCTAAGCTGACATCTTAAGGTTAGTGTTTCTTTTACTCAGTTATGAAGATGGGGTGGGGTGAATGATCCAGTCTCAACTTGTGAAGAATTTGTCCACACGGTGGCCAGTTCCTCCACCACCGCAGGCCCATCTGGAAGGAGGGAGGCCTTGCTGGGAAGACTCACTTTGCTGATCTCTGTCAGGGACATGGTGATGCTGTAGATTTGGTTCTTACTGGTGCTGGCAACCAGGGTTTCCTCCGAGGGACTGAAGCACATGCACAGAATGTCCTGTTTGTCAGACTGACTTGGGTCGCTGCTCTGTGGGTCCACAGGAATCTGCTCAAGACACAAGATGGCTGTTAGTAATGGACCCACACGTCAGCATGTCCTCAGGCCTGGAGGTCTCTCTCAGATCCGTTGAGCTTACAGACCCCCAGACCAGGATGCTTCCCAGGCTCCTCTTCAGGTGCGGAGAAGGCAGGGCCTGAGCACCTCTGCTTCTGTGGGGCTTCAACCCTGCTCTCCATTCACCTTTAAGTGACGAGCGGCTGAATGACAAAAAGCACTATGAAAATTGTCAACCCATACATCTCCACTTGAGATTCCCCTTTCAATACGCATTTATCTAAACCTCACTCCTGCCCACCTGTTGGAAGTCCAGGGCATGTGCTACCTGGCACCAGGCATAACAGTGTGCATTTCAGGGCAGCACAGGGCTGTGGCAGCCCTTCCACCATGTGTGGTAGTGACAGGGCAGAGAAAAAAGAAGGGTCACACAGTTTCTGCCAATAGTCTCTGACAGGGTCTATAGTTCTCAGCTAGACAATAAAATCAGATTTCCTTTCCCTGGATGTTCATCTTCTATTGGCAATCAAACTTATTGAAGGGCTGGTCTACACACCTATTTTTTATTTTTATTTATTCCCTTTCATTATGTATGGCAGTGTGTCAGCTTAGAACCAACTTCCTTAACAAGACTCCTAAAGTGCAAGAAGTAAAATACAAAAAAAAAAAAAAAAATCAATCAATGGGATGGTATCAAGCAACAAAGCTCCTGCACAGCTATTTCTGCTTCCTTACCACAAACTCAATTTTTAATTCCTTAGCATTTGGCTTCCACTGCATCATTCTATCCTCAGGAAGATCAGAAATCTCCTTATCAGAAATCTCCCTGCTCAGTCCTCATTATCTTGGCTTTTCCTGATCTGTGGAGCTGAGGGCAGGACCCACTTCCCTAGGGGGCAGGACACTGGGCTCTCATGCTTGGGCCCCTCTGCTTGGAGTGCCATCTTTCCATGCAGTCCAATCCTTCTTCATGCAGTCAATTCCCTTGCTTTGGCAGGTTAGAGCTGGCTCTAGGAAACCTTCCCTGGCCCGCCTTGGCTGGGTGGGCACTGATATTCCCTAATGTGCCCACAGTCCCTGGGAGTTCCCTCTTGTCACATTTATCACACTGTGAAAAGTACAACAGGTGCCCTCGTACTGGAGACCTTGTCCCACCTCTGCATCCCAGTGCTCACAGCAATGCCTGGCATGTAGTGGGTGTTCAACAAATGGATGGTAGCAGCTTTCTTGTTCTCCTCCAGAGAAGGCGAGTTCTTGCCCCTCTGGCTTCCCGCCCTCTTCCTGGCTTATCTTCTTCACTGAGTTGACCCCCATCTGACACCCTGATTGCATTTGTTTCTTTGCCTGTCCTTTGAGGTCTAACATCATGCTCCTCATGTGATGGCTTCTCACTGTATTTCCAGCCCCAGCCACAGAGCCTGGCACATGGTAAATACTCCAGTATTCATTAAATAAATAAATCGAGAAACATAAGAATGGGTTGCTTTATAGGCAAAGTAAGCTCACACCCCTCCTGCCTTCTCCCCCCTCAGCCCACACCCTCTCCTCACTCTGACCCCCGATTTTCCTCTTTGGCACAAAACCCCAAGCATCCTTCTTCAAAGCCTGGCATCATTTCTGAGGGCTCCTTGCCTCTCTGACCTCCCACCTCCATTCACACTTAACCTTCAGAAAGGTGCTCTCTTTCCCCCCTTCCCTGGTACCTACTACCATCGTCTTAGACCTCACTACCTTTTGACTGCCATAACAAACACCTCTCAACGGATTCCTAATCAGAGCTAAACAGCTACCACTATTCTTGGAGCACCACACACCAAGCACTGCACACACTGATTTTCAGAGACCGTCATTTCATTCTTTCATCAACCATCCTTCTTGGTGTAAGTGTGCTACTTTTCTCAATAAAGAAACATGGATATTGGTAGATCCAGCAATTCATCTCGAGTCACTCAGTCAATAAATGGCAGCTCTAAGTCAGAATTCATTCTTTGTATTTTTAGCAGTTTTCAATCCAATGCCTCTAGACTCACCCCCACTGTGTATTACGGGCAGATCAGGGTTTTAATAAGCATGACCTTTCCCACTAGACAGCCTTACAGGGTGCTGCTGAGTTATGCAATTCACACCCCCAGGCTGGCATTGGAGATCTTTGACCAACCTCAGCTCTCCTCTTACCCTTTCCAGTGCCTTCAGTCCCTCTTGGCTGTGGAACAGGTCTTCCCCACATCCCCTGCTTGTCCCAGGATGCCTCTGCTAAAGCTGTCCTCTTCATCTGGAGTACCTAGTTTGTTTCTTCCTGTCAAATTCTATCCATCTCCTAAGACTCTGCCTCAAAGATTACCATTAAACACCAAGGAGCCTTCTAGATTCTTCCCCAACTCAATATATAATATCTCTCTTTACAATACCTTGTATCATTTATTCCACAAACATTGCTGGCTGCTTATTATGTGGCAAGTAATATGTTTGGTCTTAAACATTAAAACTGATCTAATAATTACTATGAGAACATTAAGGTTCCAAGAAGAAATGTAATTTACTCTACAGTTCTTTCCCAGGATTCAAAACTAGACCTTCCTGCTCCTAAACTCCAATTTTGTCGGCTTTATCCTGTAACCTCCCTCAAGACAGATACCATCTCAAGTTACCATTTCTGTTCAGCCCTCCAACCCCATCCCTCTCCATCAAATGCCCTGTCAGAGCTCTGCTCTTGGAAAACAAATGCCAATAGGACCCTGGTTTGCTTCTTCCTTCCTCTCTTCCTTACCAGGATTTCCCTGCTCTCTCGGTAAAAGTCCTTTTCTTCTATCTTTTCAAACAGCAGAACTCTTCCGGGTCCAGCAGAGCAGGCAAACCCTTTTGAATAGGCAGCAATGGCGAACACCCGGGGCATGACCAGTTGGTTGTGGCTACTGGGCGTCACGATCTGTTCAAAGGAAGGGACTGGGGAACTGACTGGTGGAAATTCGACCAGGCTGGAAAAGGAAAACAGCACATAAAGGGGTCAGACAATCCCATGAGATGAATTCTGCCCAGAAGAAGAAAGAGGGCTGTCCTTGGATGTGGTAGAAGCCACTCAATGATCTCCTTTCCTATTGCCAAACTGCTGTCCTTTGGCCTGGGAATGCCACAAACTCCAACGACAGAAGCCTGGAAAGCTACACATTTATTTGGTAGTTTCACAACCCTCATGGTCATGATAATGATATGATGATTCCCATTTTGTTTAGATAAAAGTGTCTCAGAAGGGTTGAGTTTTCTATGCCACACAACTGTTGCTGAGATTGGATCCAGGTTTCCATTTTTATTCACTTATTAATCCATTTGTATAATACATATTTATATTTGCTTATAAATATTTATCTGAAGTTATACTGTGTTAATGGCTTTGTGAAATGATGCTAAGAAGGACTGACACAGTCCCTGCTCTCAGAAGCTTACAGTCTAGAGGGATATATACCAAAAAAGGACTGTTAGGGGCAGCTGAGTACAATGACAGAGGAGCTCATCAGCAGATAACAAGGGCTTTCTGAGGACAGGCACAGAGGAGGTGCACCTATCTGAGGGGAGCAGAGGTGGAGAACTCTTAGCTGAGACCTGCAGCACAAACAGGAGCAAGTCAGGTGTGTGCATGTCTGGGGTATGGGGTGAAGTGGGGGATGGAGGGAATTGCATATGGCCCAGTCCACAAGCAAGGGGGTGCCTTGGGCATGTGAAGTAGATCCAGGCAGGAATTGATGCTCCATGTCAGAAAGGGTAAGAATGTCAGGGATGTGTGGGCCGAACAATGTGGTCTGGGTTTTGTGCTAGGAGTCCGGACCCACTGAAAGACCGTACATACAGCACACTGGAGAGGGCACAGGGACTTATTAGGAGACTTCCACATAATCACAACAAAAAGGAGCTATCACTGTCATGGGAAGATGTTGAAAATGGGTGGACTGAAAGTCACTGAGGAAGAAGAATCCACAGGATGCCCTGTGGTTGAGGGCCTGGGCTTTGGGGTTGGTCAGATCTCAGTCTGAATCCTGATCCTGCCACTTACAGTATGGTGATCTTGGGTGTCATTTAACAACTTTAAGCCTATTTCCTGGTCTATAAAATGGCCATGATAATCGTATATACCACACAGGTAGGACTCAAATGGGAATATACAGAATGTGATGAAAACAGTGTCTGACACATTCAATGACACTTTCCAGTATGTATGAGATATGATTATTCTTTGTTATAAGAGAGGTACTCCTTCCTGAACTCCTCTTTGCCCATATTCCTCTTTCAGATTTAGGGACAACATTCCCTAGCACTTCTGTGTCACCTCCACTGAATTTTGAGCTCCTAGAGGACCTGCATCCTCAGTACCTAAAAAGATGCCTTGCACATTGCAAGCGCCAAGTGGGCACGTGTAGAATAGTTCAGTAAACCAGGCAGCCAGCCAATAGAACAAATATTTTTGAAAAAACTATAATTTTGAAGACTAGTTATGATAAGGTGTGTATAGAATTATAGAATACTTTCTTTATCTCCCTTTTATTTTGTGGTATTGGGGATTGAACCCAGAGGCTCTCTATCACTGAGTCATACATACCCCCCCCCCAAGCCTTTAAAAAATTTTGTTTTGAGACAGGGTCTTGCTAAGTTGCTGAGGCTGGCCTCAAACTTGGGATCCTCCTGTCTCAGCCTCCTGAGTCCCTTACAGGCTTGTGCCATTTCACCCAGCTTAAAATGTGTATAAAAGAAGTTAGGTATCATAATAAAAAAAATTGTATCTAGAAATGGTTATAATTGGCAGATTTGTGCTTGAATATAGGAAGAAGGAAAATTAACATAGTTTTTAAGGTCGAGGGGTTATGAGTGGATTTTGAAGAATGCCCTCTCTGATTAATGTTCTCAGTACAGTGAGCATGTGGGTATCAGCCCATGGGGCACCGTTACCTCTCTGACTCGTGGACAACCTCCAGGTTCTTTGAGCTCTCGGTGGGCTCCTTGACCATTATGTTGGTTTCCCAGCGCTGGTCTCCAGATTCAAAGAGAAAAAGCTTTCCTGTATCAGTGCCAACAATGACCTTGTCTTCAGCCACCCAGGCATGGGCTAGATAGTTTTGGATATCTCCTCTCTGAAAATTGGTTTGCTTTAGGGTTCCCTCAGCAAAACGCAGAAGCTTAAACATTCCATTTCCAGTGACACAAACCTGAGTGTTATCCTGGGGATTAATGCTCACCTGCAAAAAGTAAGAGAATAATAGCAAAAGATATATAAAAACTAACCTTAATGGAATTATTTCCAACTTTTCAAATTAATACTTATTTCAGGTAGTTCAGAAGCTCCCTTACACATCACTAAGTCAAGGAATTTTATACCATGTTTGATGAGGGCACACATGTGTATCCACGTAGATGTAGGGCCCATGAGTTCCACAAAGAAAATCTTCAAAGGTGAAATGCAGAATGAGCATGTTCCAACAATAATCAAACTCTGTGCCAACAAAATGGAATGAAGCTCAGTGTGAAGAGCGGTGACAGTGATTGGGAGACCAGTGCCTGAGCTTGGGATCCCTGATAACTTCATGGCTGTGGCATGATTGGTGCCTGGGAAAGTTTCTGTGCAAAGGTGCAGGATGCTGGGTTGCTGTGGTAATGCCCTTCATGGGGAGTCTCCATGCTAGAGCTTATCAGCTTCAACCTTGCTCTAAGGCCCACAGCTCCTGGGAATAGAGGAATTCTCTTGCTAAGACAACCACCATGTTTTACCAGCTCTGCTGCTCCTGAACCTGCCGCATAATAGTAACTTTAAACAATGGATTTTCTTGAGAGCTACACAATGCTCCTATAATTGTAGAATGTAACTGAGGAATAAGCTGCATAATGTTGCTAACTCTGTAACTTTCATGAATACAAAGAATAATGCTTGCATAGTCTTTAATCTAATTAATGATGTGTGTGTATGTATGTGTGTTGTGTGTGTATATATATATATGTATATATATATATATACATATATATATATATATATTAAAGATTGCTGGCGTAATTCTTTAGACCTGCTTCTCCATCAGAGAGTAATGCTCCACCCAATCCCAGGTGTCAATTTCATAATCTGAGTTTGTGAGTCTTATTTCTTCCAATCTCCCATCACCCCTCACTGGAACCTGCTATTTTGGCTGCGCTGGTCACGGCAGCTCAGCTAGAAATGGAGAAATGAGGGCTGGTCAGGTGTGTGCACATGTCTAGGGGGATGGGGTGGAGTGGGAGGATGGAGGGAATTGCCCTGTCCATGGAGGAGAATCTGCATGGTCTCCCACCAACTGAGTTTCCTTCCCTAGAGGCTCTATCCTAAAATACTCTAATGGGCAGGCAACCTGCTCTCCTCACTAGGCATGGAGCAACTTGCAGGGCTGTGTGTGGCTTCTTCATCTCTGTATTCCCAGCTGGGTTCATAGTGGGTATCCAATAAATGTTCAGTGGATCTACTTGAGAGGGGATGCTCTCTGCACGGAGCAGGGATGCCTCCTCAGGCCTCACTATGGTGAGCCTTTGGTTTGATTCTAAGATCACCAAGCAAACTTCTGATTACTAATTTCGCCTCTAACCTTCTCTGTATTAGGAATGAAATACACTGGATAAATGATGTGAGTTTTCTGGTTGTGATGTCAATCTCCTGTGAGATGAATAATTTAGGCTTGAGATGCTAATTGATTAGCTAGTATCTCTGGACATAAACAGAACTGAGATCTTGTAAAACTGAGTATAGGATCCTAGACTGAACCAAGATAAAACCTAAGAGGCAACGAGCTTCCTATGAGTCTTCTTTATTTTTCTCTCAAAGTACAATCAAGAATTGTTACCCATATAACCACAATTTCACTGAAATCTTCCTAAAATATACCATTTTGCACTGCATTCTTGAAATCTTCCTGCTGCCTAGGAAAACTGCTGGAAATGACCAAAGGGCTGGGGGAGAGCAAGAAAGTGAGCCTGTTTTAAAAATTCACCTCTGGGCCTAACCTGTAACCAGAAAGCAGTTCTAGGTAGAGGAAAGAAGACAGGAGCTGGAGTCAGGGAAAATCACCTGTGTGATTTTGGATGAATTATTTAATCTCTTGGAGCCTCAGCTCTCTCATCTGTAAAATGGGAATAATAATTTTGCATTCCTTATATAAAATTTTATATATATATATATATATATATATATATATATATATATATATATACTATTCCTTGTGAGACCAAATATATATATATATATATTCCTTGTGAGACCAAAATTTTTAAATGCATGTAAGAAATATATACTATGGTACAAAACAAGGATTCAATAAAAGACTGCTTTTACTATTCTATGAGCTACATGATACCTGTTATACTAGGAGGTACCTGGTAGACAGGGTTGTTCTGAGTGTCAGTTCTAATAATGGCCATTACTTTCTGCTTTTCCCACAGCCAATAGACAAGGTTTGATTCTGGAGGTGATGTCTGAGTCAATAGATATTTGGAGTCTGGAGAAAAGGCCATGCTGATAAATTTCTGAACTGGAAAGTCAAAAGTATTAAGGACTTTGCGCTTCCGGCACGGGATGGATGACAGCTCATAAATGGTGATGACAGGTTTCTCCTGCACAATCTCGGAGATGGCGAGGTACCGCCGATTGGGGCTGATGGACAAGGCCAACATGCCCTGACTCTTGTCTGAGCCTGCAAACAGAGGGAAAAGGGGATAGTGAGGGTAAGTTGTGCTTTCACCAGTGACACTATTGACAGAGGAGAAAGGTGCACGAACACCTAGTTATCAGTTCCTGGCCATCCCTCCGTACAACTACTCCTGGGGGGTTATGAAAATGATCAGATGGGCACCTCACTGAGGATGAGGTGGGAGAAGTCAAGGAACCCTTCGTGAAGGAAGAGGAGTTGGGATGGAGGATGAGATATGTGGTGGCAAAAGTTGGAGCAACGTTGTGGAGGTGACAAAGAGTAGAGAGCTGTGGGGGAATTGGTAGCAGCAGGTATTGCTGGAGAAATGTATGTGAGTCAGGATGACCAAAGATGGATCCAGAAGAGAGGAACAGGTCCAATCATAGAAGCTTTAGTGCTCTGAGTGGCCAGCACTCAACACTTTTAAAGGCCGGAATATTAACTCAGCCTCTCTTATATTTAGGTGATCTAGGTGACATTTTAGTTATGAGATGGATGCAGAAGTCTGCTGAAGTGGTTTTATGATAAAGCTTTATGTTTTCTTGAAGATCAAGGGCAGATGCATTCTATCCCCCTTCTCCTGGAATATAGAGGTAATGTCTCAAGATATAGCAGTTTTCTTGCATTCACGAAGTAATGAGCATGAAAATGAAAGCTGTGGTCCTCTAGAAAGCAGACCCTGAGGCAAAGATTAAAATGTAAATCTTTTTTTTCAGGAAATTCAATGAGGGCCACATTGCAATTTTCATGGGCCCTAGACACTTTTGTTTGCATATGTCCCTTCCTCCATAAAATAGTACAAATATATTTATTTTTCTACACCATTTAAAAAACACATGCAATCACACATTTGATGACTGCATTAATATAAAGATGAATATGATTCGGGTTGGATTCACTCTTATATATTCATTATTGTTATATTTACTTTTTCTTATTTTAAAACAAATTTAAAACATGTTCATGGGCCCCTAAAGGTATTGTGAGCCCTAGGCACTGTGCATAGTGGAAAAGTCTTCTGTGGGTGTGGGGACCCTGGCAGGGAGGATGTGTGAAGCAGGAGAAGATGCGCTAGGAAGTGATGGGCTAGGTCCCCGTCTGATGGACTCCATGCTGGGAGGGTCACAGCAAGTTGCCCAGCACATGGAACTTTTCTGGAAGAGCTGCAGGCAATAAGGGAAGCTCAGAGAAGAACCAGGTTTCAGGGTCATTGAGAACTTTGCCGATGATTTTGGACTCCACCTGGGAAGCAATGAAAGCCACTAAAAACTTTTAGGAAAGGTCAGACAGGTGTATAGAAAGAGCCTCTGGCAGCCAGATGGAAGGCAGCCCTGGAAGGGATGAGAGTAGCCAGCTGGTTATTTGTAGAAGCGAGAGGTGAGGGTGCAATACACTATAAGGTGGCAGTAGGGGTGAAAGTAATGGGAGGAGGGGAGATTAGAGAAATGCCAATAGGTAGAACCAGTAGGATTTAGTGACTGCTGGAGTGAGGGAGAAAAATGAGAATGAATTCAGGTGACGGGGACGAGTGGGACCCCTGGGATAGAATTTAGACTGAGGGAGTTAGGGGTGACGGTGAAGACTATGTCCCATGACTCGCTTACACATCCCATTCACATACTTAATATTTATGTGTATTTGCTCCCAGCTTTTTACAATTTTTTTAAGCTTAAACCTTTAATTCATCTTGGACCCATGATGATAAAAAATATGAAGTGAGGATATAAAGTGGTTCCCATTTCTTAAACACCTAGTCAGTTGTCCCAGCACTAATTAATAATGAACGAATATATTAAAGTTATATTTTTACATATATAGCATTGGGGTTCTAGAATATTTATGCTAGGACAACATGACTTTTGTAGTCATATCTTTATCATGAGTTTGAATATCTGGCAGTTTGATCTTTAGGAAATAGCAGGAGAAAAGAAGAAATGAGAATTGGATTTTTGATACAGTGCACAAGGTATATTGTGAGGCATGTGGGTAAAGAGGCCTAAAAGTTAGATATGATTCTAAAGCTCAGGGCAGAGGGTGGGACTAAAAACTCAGATTTGAAATAAAAGGCCTGGTGAGAAGCTAAAGCTGGGAGCATAAGATTGCCTAGAGAAGATGAAGGAAAACTCACTCCTCCTGGGTTCCTTATTTTAGGAATAAGCCCTTAGCAGGGGATGGAATCCAGGGACCACCTGGCATTTGCATTGCATTTTCTATATCACGTTCCAGGTACCCAGGACTCTGGAATTCTCTGCCTAAATGGTCCTGAGTCTACCGATAAGACCAGCATTGGCTCTTTCCTAGGTCAGTCTCTACCATCAGAGAAGTCCTAAAGATGTTCAAAGGGTGACTGTTTACAGGATATATGGGCAGCATTTAAGTGTACAGCTGAGAGGACCCACATATATGAAGGAGGTCCTGCTGATATAAAATGGAATTCAGAGCAGAAGAGATGTGGTATAGGTAGGAAGTGTGAGAATATGAGCATAATAACTGAAATGATCATCTCAACGGATATACTAAATTGTAGGCTAGATATGGCTGAAAAGAGATTCAATGAAGCCAAGAGATAATACCAAGAAAAAAGAAAAAAGAGTTTAAAAACATGGAGGGTTAGAGTTGAGATGGTCTGGAGTTCTTGGAGATAACAGAATGAAAAAGGTACTATATTCCAAAGTGACAATTGTTAAAAACTCTCTAGAATCACTGCGAGATGCCTACCCTTGGATCCAAGAATCCCTAGGAAGATTAGAAAGGGAAAATAAAACCTACACATGTAATAAAAACAGACACAGAAAACTTCTTAAAAGCATCCAGAAAAACAGACTGATCATCTATAGATAGAAGACCCAATGGCTAATGGCTTAACCACAACAAGAAAACAGAAGTAAAAAACAATGCAGCAAAAACTGCAATGTGCTGACAAAAATTCTATACCTGGCCAAATTCTCTTTCAAATATGAGGATGAAATTAAAGTAATTTTAAATTAACAAAATCTGGGAGCATCTACCATTAACACATCATCACTAACTGTAGAAGGAAAATGATTGCAACTGGAATATCTGATTTCTAAAGAGTCATGGTGGGGGAAAAAAAGAATCATGGTGGGCAGAATTCACTAAACTTGAGAGCAAATATAAATAAATGTCTATATAAAACAATGACTGATTTAATATTAGAAATCCATATAATCTTATGGAAATATAGAAAGTGCATGCAATAAAATTCAGTATGTGTTCATTGGGGGAAAAGCATAGCAATCCAGAAAATTAAAGGATTTTCCTTAACTTGATAAAAGACATTGACAACTGCCTGCAGTAAACATCCTTCTGTGTAACAAATATTGAAATAATTCCTTTTAAGAGTAGAAGCATGACAAGGATGTTCTCTTTCATTGTCCCTATTCAACTTTGTCAGGAGGTGCTTGCCAGTACAGTGACACAAGAAAAAGAAATAAAACCATCATTTCTTTTGTAGATAATATGACACTCTACGTAGAAAACCCCAAAGAATCTACAGATTTGTTATTAGAATTAACAACAGTTGAGCAAATATGTTAGACATAAAAAAGCCAACTATATTTAGTACGGTTTATTCTAACAGAATATTACCTGATGTTTGGTAAATCTGACTTCACTAAAACTAAGAATTTCTGTGCATCAAAAGATAACATGGAGGAGAAAAATTCAAGTTCCAGATTGGAATGATTAGTACATAGACAATACAAAGTGTGTCATTAAGTCAATAAGGAAGTTACTAAAACAAAACAAAACAAAACAAAACAAACAAACAAAAAAACCCTCAAGCCCCATGAAGAACAATAGAAAAATGGATTAAAAAGCTTGAATGAGACATATAACACAAGGGTAAGTAGGAGTAGTCTGTAAATATGTGAAAAGATACTAATTTGCATTAAAAATAGAGAAAGGCAAACTAAAATCACAGTAAGATACCTCTTCTCAAGCATTAGACTAGCAAAAAATGAGAAGYTGAACATGACAAAGGGTTGGTAAAGTTGTGGAAGAATGAGGACCCTTATGCATTGCTGGCACTAAGGGTCCTCATTAATTTCATTCCTGGATGTTTATAGTGGTAACATTTATAGTGGTAACATTTCTAATAGCAAATAGCTGTTATTTCCCCAATGCCCCTCAAGCCTAGGGTGGGTATATAAATATATATTTGAGACATTATATTCAGAGATTGGAATACTTGCTACAATAAAATGAACTCAGTTATATGTATCAAGATGCATGAATCTCAAAAGCATGATGTTGAACAAAAGAAGAAAGTTACAGGCTACATACATTATGATTCCATTTAAATAAAATTGGAAAATAGCAAAAATAAAAATATATTTTGCATAAAGTCACACATGTATGTAATAAATGCTGTATGGAAAATAATTACAAAATTCAAAATGGGGGTGTGTGGGGATGGGAAAGAAGTACTGGAACTGACAATGTTCTATATATTATCTTGGATGGTTCATAGATTTTCATGTAATAGTAATTCTTTTTTTTTTTATATTTATTTTTCAGTTCTTGGCGGACACAACATCTTTGTTGGTATGTGGTGCTGAGGATCGAACCCGGGCCGCACGCATGCCAGGCGAGCGCGCTACCGCTTGAGCCACATCCCCAGCCCCAGTAATTCTTTATTACATATATAGAGTATATACTTTTATATGCACATATCATAATAAAGCGTTCAACACAATAAAGAGTGGGGAAAAAGAGTGGATTGAATTGTCATAAATATCACTGACAGAATGAATGAGAACAAAAAATGTAATGTCATACAAATATTTTTTTGTGGGTGACTAAGGGTAAAATTTTCTGTCTTCATTGTACCAGGATTTAAAAGGTGTATTGAAGATGGTGTATTTTGGAAAACTTGTGTTTACAACTCCAAAAGGGGGTCTGGTGAGGACAAAGCCAATGACACTGAAGATGCATAAAAAGAGATCTAAAAAATATTGTTTTCCTGAAATTACAATGCAAAAATACTTCAAAATTAATATTAATTTTGTTAAATTTAACTATGGTTCTTTTTTTTTTTTTTTTTGCTTCTTGGTTTTTTCTTTTTCTTTTCATTGTTGTTCTTTTTTGTGTTGCTGAGGATTGAATCCAGGCCTTGTGCATGTGAGGGAAGCACTCTACCAAATGAACTATATCCCCAGCCCAACCGTATCTTTGATTGCTTTATAATAAATAATGCAAGTTGATTTTTAGTTCTTCTAACTTTATAAAACTGTAATATTCCAGTTGTCATAAACTGTCTTTCCAAACGCGGTTTTGAGATTACAGAGTTCTATTTGGCACGAGCCGTTAATGTATACGTCAGGATGTTAAGGATTTTACCTGGAATGAATTTTTGCCACTTCTGATCCACATTGTACTTCACACAATGATTTCCTGAAGGATATATAATAATCTGTTCATCGAAGAAAAAAATATTGTTGGCCACGTGGGCTCGAAGACCAAAAACATGCAGCCACTGAGCTACGACGGTAGACATGATCCCTTGCCAGAGTTCTGCTAAAGACCAAGCAGCGGGTCAGAGCAGAATAAGTGCATCGCCCCGCCCCACCCAGGACACGCCCCTGGCCCCGCCCCCGAGCCCTCCTCCTCACCTCGGGGCGCCCCCCCAATCTGTCCKGTCCCCTAGGGCTCTTTCTCCCCTTTCCTTTTCTCCCTTGCACGTTCAGCTCCTCCTGACGACCTCAGGGACCTCTCCCACCTTTCGCTTTTTCACTCAGGCTCAGCAGACCACGCACGTATCCAGAGGTGCTACCCCTAGGGATTCCAAGCAGCCCGGGCACTTCCAAACGTCGCAGCAGTTCCTATGGCAACCACAAACCGGAAGTGTGGCTTGTAGCCGGAAGCGGAAGTCCCGATCGAGGAGCTAAGCACGGTCTGTGAGTTGTTGGTGCTGGTGTGGCTTGGGCGCACGTGGAGCTGCGAGTGTGAGTGGGTGCTGAGCGCAGCATCCGCGGCGACGGTCTCCCCCGCCAGTCCCGCGGGCCTCGGGCTACCCTGCGCTTCCCGGTAGGCTCGGGTCGGGCGTGAGACGAGATGGACACTCCCCCGCTCTCGGGCTCGGACTCGGACTCGGATTCTGATGATTCTCTTGTCACGGACAGAGAGGTATGTCAGCAGAGCTCGCCGATCGGGGCGCGGAAAGAGGGGCTCTTACTCCTCTGATACTGACCGCCACTGTGTCTTGCAGTTGCAGGATGCGTTTTCCCGCGGACTCCTGAAGCCAGGCCTCAATGTCGTGCTAGAGGGGCCAAAGAAGACTGTGAATGACGTGGTAAGCGCGGGCGCCGGGCAACTGGTACTCGGAAATGGGATGCGCACCAGGCAGTGTTGTGTTTGGAGACTGATTCTTGTCCCAGGAAGATGCAACCTGCCCAAAGCCTAGAGGGTCGATTTTCTGTCTGGGTATTTGGGTGTAGCACTTTTCTTATTGGGTTTGTGCGTGGGAGAGACAAACTCTTGCTTTTCTTATGAGCTCAGTGTCTGAATTTCCTAGAATGGCCTGAAACAGTGTTTGGCTGAATTCAAGCGGGACCTGGAGTGGGTTGAAAGGCTCGATGTGACCCTGGGTCCGGTGCCAGAAATTAGTGACCCTCAGCCTACACCTCAGAACAAAGACCAGAAAGCTGTTAATCCAGAAGATGATTTCCAGCGGGAAATGAGTTTGTATGTTTATTTTCCACTATGGGAGAAGTTGGGGGTCCTTGTGCTAGAGAATAAGGGAGAGAAGGAAGTAGTGAGACTGCACTCTCTGGATCCCCAGGGAGTTAGCACATGTTTGGGAATGGGAAGACTCTTCCCTAGAGGAGGAAGAGCTAAGGGATTCTCCCTGGTTGAGAGAAGAGCTCTCTGGTCTACTAGTCCTGATTTTAAGTCCAATTTATAGATTATTTTGAAATATTCACTTGTAAAGCTTATGTGTGTGCACATGCAGTTAGTTATTAGAACAAACTTTGTTTATGGGAGGGGGGCTTCCTGACTGTACTTTGTTTAGTAATTATATAAAAATTCATAATTGACATTAATTTGTGTGTTAATTGGCACCTTTAGAGTGGTCATTCTTTTAAACTGCTAACTTATTTTTAGCAAAACTTCTCTCCTTTAAAATAATGGTGTACAGTGAAATCTTTCTAAGATGCCAAATTAATAAGGTTTCATTCCCACTTTTGTGTGTTTATTCATTTGTTCTTGTTAGTGAAGGTCAGATGTTGAGTGCTTCTCAACTTGAAAAACTCATGAGAGGCAGTGAGAAGGAATGAAAGCCTTTCTCCCTCATCTCATTTCACATTTTGCCCGTAATCTCAGCTACCGCCAGGCCCAGGCTGCTGTGCTTGCAGTATTACCCCGCCTCCATCAGCTCAAAGTCCCTACCAAGAGGCCAACCGATTATTTTGCAGAAATGGCTAAGTCCGATCAACAGATGCAAAAGGTAAGAAATGTTTTTGTCTGGAAAGCCAAGGCTTTGTACTGAAGTATATTCAGCTGGCCTATCTCTTGTAGTGTTTTAGAAAGAACTATAAACCCAATATTGCGGAGCTGGTTGTCAAAGACATTTATTATCTCTTTCAGAGATTTTCTACTTTAGATTTATGGTTGTTATCACCCATTAGATAAATATAAGAATGACTTTTTCCTAATTTAAATAACTAAGGAGAAAGGAAGTAGTATAAAAATGGTCCTAAAGTTAAGATGGCTTTCATATTTCCTAGTTGCCATGACACGGTGTACAGAGAACACAGCACAGTTGTTCTGGTGCTTCTATTGCCAGGAAGCAATGCTATCACTTGTAAATACATTTTCTTCTTGGGCCCTCACTTTTCTGTAAAATGACAGATTAATATGTGGCTCAGATACAATATAATTTAGAGTTAGGTAGCACTTGGTCCTCATTTTAACTTTGAAGGGGGGAGAATTACCAACACTGAAGCAAGGTTATATTTAAATGGATCCCCTGGTATCAAGTTAGATGTTAGGGAACTATTGGTGGTACCCAGAGAAGCTAATCTAGAGACCAGCCCAGACATGTCTCTTGTTTATTTGTAGTGATATCTTATCCTTCAACTGAAATGTGTATGTTTGATGGAAGAGGGTGGGTATTAGATATCTGCTGGAGTTTTTTTTTTTTTTTTTTTGTCTGTGTGGCCTGTTAGAGAAGGGCACTGAGGCTGCATGCAGGCTTAACCTTTGTACAGACAGTGGGCATGGGGAGAAATTGGTTTTCTTTCACGGATGACAACTTTTGTGTAATGGAACAAACAGCACACTGGGGGTAGGAAGTCACTTTTAAGCTCTGGCCCCACCACTGATACTTTTGTGTTCTTGGGTAAAGTGCTCAGCCTTTGGGCCTCCTTGTCTTCATATGTGAAACACGGGTCAGAATAGATGATTTATAGGTTCCATGGTATACACTGTTCTCTGTTCTTGTGCACCCTAAGTAGATCTGACAACCTTTTGCATTTTAGATTCGACAGAAGCTGCAGACTAAACAGGCCGCCATGGAGAAGTCTGAAAAAGCTAAACAACTGCGAGCACTTAGGAAATATGGAAAGAAGGTGAGAAAGAAAATGTGTAAGGAATAGAACAAGACCATATTGTATGTGAAATCAGATTGCCAGGGTCTGATTTGGTTCCAGGCCTTGAGGGTGTCTGATCATGTGTTATCTCACAGTGGATTGTGTGCAGTGCCAGGACTAGGGTGGTAAGGGCAGGTGAGCTGACAGCTTCTCTGGGCTTTGATCTTCACATCTGAATAGTAATGGGTTGAGTTCAAATCAGTGGTTTCCATACCTGATCTCTCAGCAAAATTACTAGGTGAAAATTTTTGAAACATTTCGATGCTTCAGAGTTTCTGGGAATCTGTATACTTTCTCCCATGCCCCCCAAAAGCTTCTCAGGTGCTTTTGATATGCATCTTGGACTCACTGACCTTGATTTTCCTGGTTTGAGGGAAAAAAATGGTACACATGTTTTTGACTATGATTATCTGAGTTCTAATGTAAAACAAGATTAGGCTTTCTGTGAAACTGTTCTACTTCCTCTTTATTGTATAGTCATGTAAGAAAGATGACAGGTATTATAGTTAAGGTTGTGGGAAGGAATGAGTGAGGAGGATTCACATGGGAGTTAAGGCTTTGTCACAGTATTTTGGACATAACCCTTGTGATCTGGGCATGGAGCTACTTGGGGTAATTTTCGGATAAATCCTCAGCAGAGGAAGAGGAGACTAACATCCTGTCCTCTGCTAAAGATCAGCTGTGGATTTAGTGTTTCTTTGATCTGGAGGTGGGTGGTTAACATTATCTCAAACATACTGGCAATGGCTTTATTGAAAGCAAAGCTCAGCTCATCTCACTTTCTAATTTGAGGATACCAGTGTGCAGTGGTTTCCAATGTGAGGTGATTTTGCTTCCAGGGAACATTTGTCACTGTATACACACATCTTTTGGTTGTCATATCTTGGAGTGAAGGGTGCTGCTGGCATCCAGTGGGTAAAAGGCAGGAATGTTGTTAAACATTCTGCGATTCACAGGACAGCCCCTGTGCCAAACAAAGAGTTACCTTGTCTAGAATGTCAGTAGTATTGAGATATAGAAGCCCTGCCTTAAAGTATATTGTCTCCTTTTGTCTTTAAAGCTTTTTTCTGGGGAGTTTTTTTTTTTTTTTTTCTCCCTTCTCTTTTTCTTTTAGTGCTTTCATGTCTAGTAACAGTGGGTTGGATATTTAATCTTCCCAAGTAGGACCAATGAGAAAAATTGACTGTAGACCTAAACACGATCTGCAGGATTGTGTGAAGAGGTAAGAGTACAGACAGTGGAGTCAGGCTGCTGGCTTGTGCATCTCTGCTCTGCACATTCTTGCTATGTAACTTGAACAAGTATACCTTCTGTGTTTCAGTTTAATAGATAATAAGAATTTAAAGGTGAACTGAGAATATATAGAGAGCCCTTAGCACATAGATGTAAATGTTAAATGGTAGTGATATTAATCACAGCATGTGGTTGTGTGTTTTCTTATCACATTGAGAGAATGTGGACACTTGGAGTAATGATTTGAAATGGGTATAACTGTCCTTGTTTCCATATCACAGGTGCAAACGGAGGTTCTTCAGAAGAGGCAGCAGGAGAAAAAGCATATGATGAATGCCATTAAGAAATATCAGAAAGGTCAGTCAAATATCTCTCTGCTAAGGATGTAGGAGAATGGGGATAGAGCATACCTGAGAGGTAATTTGAACATGGAGTGCTTTGAGTCTTCTTGATTGATGGGTAACAGTTGGACCTAAGTTCTGGGAATGGTATGGAGAGCAAGATGTTCTTCTTAAAATCAGTTTGGAAAATAACACCCTTATTTTGAGTTTTAAACCTTTCTTCTTTCTTAAAACATAATGGTGCTGATCAAAGTGCTTCTTCACTCATAGGCTTCTCTGATAAACTGGATTTCCTTGAGGGTGATCAGAAATCCGTCCCACAGGGCACAAAGGCAGCAGCTAAAGCCCAGCAGATGAAGAAAGGGTAAGAGGTTTTTGGTTTGGTTCTGTGCTGTGTAGTGGGTGGGAGGACCTTCACAGGAGTGGCCTCTGAGTTGAGAGAATGTAGCTGCAGATTAGACCCAACAATTATAGCCCCATGTGATGGGTCTTTTTATCTATATCAGCCTTTGAAGATGAAAATAAGGTACTTGGCTTATGTTAAGTGAACGCTGAAGCATCGTGTGGTTTCCCATCGCACAATGTGTTAGTTAAAAGCACACATCTAGGGGTCATATCTGGATTCTGCTGCTCATTAGGAGGGTAGCTTTGAGGAAGTCACTTGTTAATTGCCCATTTACTATAATGAAGAAAGGTGTGAGGTTATAGTACTGTGAATATTAAAGGGGAGAATGTTGGCTATTATTCTTCTTAGTCCACCTTTCTGTATACCTGCATACCAGGCCTGATGGGGGAATGATAATTTCCATAAAATACAAMAAAAACTATGATAGTAGGGAATAGTTTAGAAGCACATTTTAGAAGTTTCTTACATAGCCTGGTCGTGGCTGCCCGGAGAAGGATCCCATCTGAGCCTAGTGTGAGGAATAAGAATTGACCAGGAGAGTAGGAGAGAGAGAGGAAGGAGAAGGAACTCCAGTGAACAGAGGCATAGAGTCATGAGACAGCAGGTTGTGGATGAGGAACAGCCAGCATCTGGCCCCACTGGGAATGCAGTGGGAGGTGAGGAGTGGGGAGGCGGGCTGGGCTGAGCTGAGCTGAGCTGAGCTGAGCTGTTATTCACTGTAGAGGAGCTTGGGCTTCATCCAGGAGGCAGTGGGGAGACACTCAGAGGCTTTACTGAGAATGATGAGCAGATCATACTCATGTTTGAAAAGATTACAGTGGCATTTGGGTCAGTGATGGACTTGAGGGAAGTGGAGACATGATTAGGTGTCTATTTCAAAAGTCCAAATGCACAGTTAATAATGCTGTACACATGCAGAGGATAGCAAGGAGAAAACATGTTGAAGAAGCATCTAAGAAGTCACATCAGCATGACTTAGTAACTGAAGTGGGTATTAAGAGTGTAGAGCCGGGCACGGTGGCGCAGGCCTGTAATCCCAGTGGCTTGGGAGGCTGAGGCAGGAGGATTGYGAGTTCAAAGCCAGCCTCAGCAAAAGCAAGGCTCTAAGCAACTCAGTGAGACCCTGTCTCTAAATAAAGTACAAAATAGGGCTGAGAGTGTGGCTCAGTGGTTGAGTTCAATCCCTGGTACCCTAAAAAAAAAAAAAAAAGAGTGAGTGTCCGCTGCCTGGGTGCCTGGGCAGATGGTAGGAGCTCTAGCCCCAAGGTGGAGCACAAGGTGGAGCATTTACATAGGAAGACTAGGAAGGGAGATGACATATGGTTTTGAATAGGCTGAATTTGATGACTTTAAAATTTATTACATTTGGATTTTGACTGCATCTTATATCCTTGAAAGGAATAGTAACAACTGAGGGTGGTTTAGCAAGACTAACTTA